AACTTTGGCAATAAGCTTATACAAACATCCAATTAAGCTAATTGGCCGAAAGTCCGTAATATCAGAGGCACCGCCCTTCTTGGGAATGAGAGCAATAAAAGATGCGTTCAATGATTTCTCAAATGTGCCATGGGAATAAAAATCCTGAAAGGTGCCCATCACCTCAGCTTGCACCACCTCCTAACTCTCCTTAAGAAACTGCATAGTAAACCCATCTGGCTTTGGAGCTTTGTCCCCGTTACAACTAGAAAGTGCCTTAAGCGCTTCCTCCTCCGTGAATGGAATCTCAATCCTATCACTATCCAACGCAGAAACAGAATTAAAAGGAAAACCATCAAGAGTAGGTCTCCACCCAAAGTCTCAATGTAGAGCTACTGATAAAAAGACACGATTCCCCTGCGCACCTCATCCTCCCTCCACAACTCAGAACCATTGACCCGGATACGCCCGATGTGATTACATCTTCTGTGAGCGTTGGCAAGTCTATGAAAGAATTTTGTATTACGATTCCCATCTTTTAACCACAAAGCCCGAGACTTCTGGCGCCACGAAATCTCCTCCATAAGAGCAATCTCAGCAAAAACCGCTTGGCAAGAGGCTTTTTTAGAGCGTAATGACACCTCATTCTGTCCCACCTCATTAAGACGATCGAGCTCAGCAATATCAGCAAGAACTCTATTCTTCTTCCATTCAAGATTCCCAAACACTTCTTTATTCCACCTCTTTAACTCAGTTTTAAGAAACGGAAACTTTCTAGCTAACACATAACTAGCAAAGCCTGTGAAACTTGCTTCCTCCCACCAAGACTGAACCTTCCCTTGAAAGTCCTCGGATCTCAGCCACGTATTTTCAAAGCGGAAAGGAGTGCGTCTAGAACTCAAACCACTACAATCAAGAACTAAAGGCACATGATCAGATGTCACTCTAACCAGAACAGCTTGAGAGACATCCGGGAAATGCTCTTCCCACGCCCCAGAAATCAGAAATCTATCCAACCGAGAAAAAGTAACCGGTTCCCTACCATTAGACTCCAATGATAGGTCAATGAGAAAATAACTATCAATGAATTATGAAAACATGGTCATTTCAAAGGACCACCTGCCCCATGTGGACCTCTCAAACGGGGACCTAACAGAATTAAAATCCCTGCCTAAACACCAAGGCAATGACCACAAATCCTTAACATCCACAGGACTGGTCTATCACTATCAGTAACAGGCCCATAAACACCTGAAAACACCCATCTGAAAATGTCTTCCTCCATCTGAATTAGACAAGACACAGAGAAAATACCCTTCCAACAATTCAAACTTGACAACCACCTTCGATCCCACATGAGAAGAATACCACTTGAAGTGCCAGAGGCGTTCAGCACTTCCCATTCCACAAATCTTCCTCCCCAAAGACTCCTGACAATCTTAACGGTGATAGAAGCCATCTTAGTTTCCTGTAAACAAACAACATGAGCACTCCACTTCCTCAAAGCTACCTTGACAACTCTTCTTCTGTTCGGATCATTTTGACCACGAACATTCCATGTTATAAGTCGTAGCTTCATGAAGAACCAAAAACGATCAACTCCTCCTCTTCCTCCCCATTTTCCACTTCTGGTTCTTCCCTTTTCTTTGGTCGTCCCATTCTTTCCGTCATAATTATTCTTCACTTCCTATTCGCCTTTCCGATGCGAATTTCTGACTTTGACTTCTTTTGTGCCACTATTAGGTTCAGTATTATCATTTCCTGCAACAATTTCGTGAAGAATAGACAAGGTTTGTTCATCATAACCTTCTGAAGAGACACCCAAAGCCTCACTTACGGCTCCAATGTTCTCGATAACCCATTCCATACCCAGATCATTGGTCGTCTCTAAACAATCTGGCCGCACAACTGCCAGAGGTTCCATTAAATCCACTTCAGATTGATCAAAATCCGTCCAGGAAAAAGAATCTTTAGAACAGTGCTGCTGAGAAGGAAAATCAACCACTCCTAACTGCATATTCCACTCTGTTTCTGAATTATCATGTTCAGTTGACAAATGCAGCAAAGAGCCAAAGCTCTTTAAGCAGAGCTACAGCTGAGTCATTATTCAGTTTGAAGTGCAGATCTTTCCCAACGCAAACTGTCACTCCATTGAAACAACCCACACTCCCAGTTGTGGCTTTTGAGACATCGAACTCTAACCATCACGCCATGAACTTGAAGACCCAATAAGACCCCTCTGTTAATTCGAAACATCCTCTACAACATCCCTAGTCCTCACCACTCCACCCGAAGGAGGAGTAGAAGTAGAGAGAGCATTTTGAGAATGATCAGAACTCAAACCTGAAAATGAAGCGTGAGGTCGTGCAACCCATTTCTGTTTTTCAGTCCGAGTCCACCGAGATCCATGGCAACTGACATCCATCATCCTCCACTCAGGTTTCAGCAAATGAGTCAAAGGCTTAGCATGGGCTTGTACTTCTTTAAATGGCTTACGGCCTGGTTTGGTGTTTGGGAAAGAGATAGATAAAGAGTTTGTCCCTTTTCGCACCCTTCTGTTAGGCCCAGATCTAATAGGCCAGTCTGAATCCGCCCACTTGGCCCGAATCTAAGCGGCCCTTTCTATACCCGTTGAAAAGGCCCAGAACCAAAGTTCGCTATGTTAGGTTTAGGCTGAGTGAGCCTAAAATTAAGACCAGGCCTGTCTGACTCCTGGCTTGTCTTGACATCTTCTGGCCCATCTCACTGCCATCCTCAGCCCAAAAAGAAAAGTCCTCCCCTACCTTATCGTCAAGAGATAAGGATAAGGCAAAATCTGGAAGAGCACCCCGTCGATCTCCACGTGTAATCCTTCTCTGCTCATCATCTACGTGTGTGGCCGGCGCGTGGAGATCACTTCGTCTTCTACCTCCTATGAACTTCACTGCTTGTTGGATTTCATGATCCTTCAGCCACTGTTGAATCTTGAGAACCCCCTCTTTTCCTTTACTGAGAATCTCATTCCATTTCTCTTCCGACATGAGATGAGATCCGTCAATACCTTCAAGACTCTCCGTTTGAGGAACAAGCTCCAGCGAGATTTCTTCCCAGATCGCGACCTTGTAACAGAAGGTGTCATCGTTAATAAACACGAACTTTGGACAATCACGGCCAAATCTCACTGTTATCCGAATGCTTTCGGCGTCCCTAGTCTCATCCGCATCAAATCTCACGTACCCACCACAAAGCTCTCCCACTTCGACGAACAAAGCATGACACCAGAGATGCAAAGGAAGGCTAAACAGCCTGATCTGTTTGAGGCCTTTATCACTAAGAACGCCATAACACCCAACTCGGAAGGACCACACGTCGATCCTCAAAGTTGAAGAACCCCACTGTCGTCGCCCTTCTTTCAACACGCGTTTGGCCTCTGCCTGAGTAGGAAACCGGAAAAGGAGCAGTGAGTCGGATAAGGGTGTTACCCCCACTCCACAAGTCGTATTCCAAGCCCGCGCTACCCATTCTTTCACACGATCACAACCCCCCACTTCCTTATCAAATCTTCCGACCAAACAAGATGAGAGGACTGACTTCCTTCCTCCGACGAACTCCCCGTCAATGTATAACCACGGTCCTCGGTGAGGAACTGCCGACTTCACTTCCCCTCCAAGCGAGATTCTTGGTAATCTTGCAATTTCTAGAAAGGATTTCATCCCAAACCTAGCAAAATCGCAGTCACACAAATCGCCCCTTGTGTGGTGAAATCGCACATAGTGACGTCATAACTTTCCTCACAAATCGCCCCACAAACTTGTCTTGTTTTCATAGTTATGCCACTATTTTCTTCTTTGTTTTGGGACTAAGAGAGAGAAAAGAGATTGACCATTAACATCAAAGAGGAGGATTTCCTTAATTATATAGTTGCTAACACTTGCTCAACATTTTCTTCAAGAGACCTTGAAGCCTGTTGTTAGTTTTTGAGGGGCTCATAAGTTGTAAGAAATAAGGTCTATATGATTTGGTCTTCAAGGATGGATTATTGGGATTATTTGTTAATTGCTCATATTGTTATGCTTTCATCGTCATAGTTAGGTTTGACTTGCATCATTCAAGTATACAAAAACCTGGTAGCTTTCTTTAGCTGATTTTGTGCATTCGTGGGGATTAGTATCAACCTTGAGTGGTGGTAAGCACTTTGTGTAACCAAACAAAAAGCATACAAATTTAATGTAAGCATTTCAATTCTTGTGCAGCATTTCATGCTGTTGTACTCAAGAGTTAGTGCTACTAGGTTTGGGTATTCTATGTGGAATATTAAATCTCATTTATGTATTTCTATGAGCAACAACATTATATTCCTTAAAGTTAAATCCTTACAAGAATTGGGATATATAAGAAAATGTTTTAGTATTTTCACATATATGCCTATGCGGTCATTATAAGCAAAATTTTTGAAAGAATTTTTTTGACATTTAAAAAGCTCTGATAACATACTAATTGCGCCTATTAGTTCTTAAATAATGTTTCTTCATGATCTTTTGATTTAAAGGAGTTCTTGTCTTTTTAGTGGATTAATTTTGCTTATAAAAAATTCAAGGTTTCCCTGTTACTTTTGTCATTGCAGATTCTGAGTAAAGGCTCAGCAACATAAGTATCCTTTATATCTTATCACCTACCAATAGTCTACATCTACGAAAGTCTTGCAGCTGACCTGTTGTCTTTGATTTTGGTGAGAAAAAAGTTTATTTTATTTTATTTGTGATATGCATGTTTTATTCACATTTTTGGTTTTTGGTTTTGTTTTATTTTATTTTATTTTTTGTCTCTTTTTTTTTTGGTTTTTTTTTTTTTTTGTTGTGGATATGTTATGTGCACACCTAAAACTCGTAGAATATCTGTCAGGTTCAAGTGAAGCTGGAAATAGTGCTGAAGAGAGTATTTTGCATTCAATGGATGGAAATGAAATGAAGAGTGTGAGCACAACATTGACCAGCACTGCAATGATGCTGTCCCCTGTTTTTCTCTGGAGATTTAAGGTTCCATTATTTATTATCATTGAATCTATTTTTGGAAGCCTTATTTAATTCTATTCAACTTATGAAAAAGGATAGTAGGGATTGTATCCATATTTTCTAAATTTGCTGCCTTTTTACTTGTTTTTTTGGGATGTTGGAACCTCAATGGTGCACTTTGCATGATGGTTTACCTTGTCAATCTTGGCTTGGGAGACCATATGTCCAATAAAATTGTAGATTCTCCTTCTATATAATTTCCCTTTGAGGGTGAATATGTTTGGAGTGGCAATTAAGTTTAAATTCTCTACCAAAGAACCACACACCCCTTTTCAAGGGGGAAAAAGAGCACTCATTTTCTTTACTGATTTTCACGAGTGAGAGAAATAATGATATATATGCAATGGGTTGCCGTTCCTGTAAATGCTGAGGCCAATCATCATCATCATCCTTGCCTTAATCCCATATGAATGGAATCAGCCACATGAATTCTCTTTCTCCAAGCCTTTCTATTATGTGTAATTCCACCTACTATATTTAGTTTTTTAACATCATTATTAATAACCTCATCACATGTTAGTTTTGGTCGCTCTCTTCGTCTCTTACCTTCTATGACAACTAGTCTTCCTAGTTTGATCGGTGCTGCGTCTTTAGGTCTCCGATGTAAGTGTCCAAACCATCTAAGTCTACTCTCTCTAATTTTCTCCCTAATGGGAGCCACCCCTATTTTTTCTCTCACACTTTCATGAGTGATCCTATCTCTCCTAGTCACGCCACTCATCCGTCTTAACATTTTCATTTCCGCTACATAAAGTCGTCGTTCTTGTTTATTTCTTAGGGCCCAACACTCTGCTCCATATAACATAGTTAATCTAATAACGGTCCTATACAATTTTCCTTTTAATCTACGTGTTATTCTTTTATCACATAAAGTCCCATTAGCTTGTCTCCACTTGGTCCATTTCTCTGTCCTTCTGTATTATCGATCCTAGATAGCGAAAGTAGTTGATGTGAGTAATCTTTTGCTTTTGAAGTGTTATCATTATATTGAAAATATCTGAATCTCTATTGAATTTGCACTCCATGTACTCGATTTTTAGTTCAACTGATTCTCAATCGTTTTATTCTAATATATTTCTCCATATTTCTAGTTTTATTGCCAAGTTCTCTTTAGATGTGTCTAGGAGCACTATATCATCTACAAACATCATGCACCATGGAATCTCGTTTTGGAAGTCTTTTGTAATTTCGTCTAAGATTATTGCAAATAGATATGGGCTTAGCACTGACCCTTGTTACAATCCTACATTTATGGAGAACTCACTAGTTTCACCACATGTGGTACGGACTGTTAACCTTAAGGATTCCATCCAAGGACAATCTAGGTGTTTTGATGATAACAAACCATTAATGGTGTTTAAGGACTAATGTTTACATTGAGTGTTATATAGATTATTCACATTCAAAGAATGACCTCAATGAAGCACTAAAGATCATTTCAAGTATTCCATTATTCAAGATCACATCAAGGAAAGAAATTGATACAAAGAAGAGTTGAAGTTGCAAGGAAAGATAGTTTGGACTACAACGAGGAAGAAAGCAACTCAAAGAAAGGATGAAAGCAAGGATACCTCAAAGCTTAAAGATCATGGACAAAGCTTGAAGAAAGGGGTAGATAGGATGGTGAGTGTTTAGGATTCAATGTCAAAGTATTTATGAATCCATTTGAGGCTCATTTCTATAGGACCATGCATATCACATCATCATTCATATGTTCCTATATCCATTAGCAATAAACTATGCACTTCATATATATATATTTGCACATGAAGTCATTGCTAAAGAATGAGTTAGTTCAAGCTTGCTTAAGCTTTGAAAGAACTCATCACTTGTGCTAGAAATGTTAAAACCATGCACATCAATCATATAATTCATATTAGTCAACTATTAAGGCATGAGAAGCCTTCATTATCATGAGTTGGTAAAGGACATTAGGACCCCTGAATGCGCGTCATGAAAAACTTATGTTTTTGGCTAAGTATGAAAAATGGCTAAGTGTGAAAAATAGATTTTTGAAATAATGATTATTTCAAAATAATTTTTCCCAGTAATAACTCATTATACTTCAAATAGCCTAAACTGATTTTATCAGAATTTTTGACCAAGTTTACATTGGTCTACATATGGATTCATTTTTACCAAAACTGTCGGAAATCCAAATTTGTACAAAGACTGAATTTCTACATTTTGATTTAGTTGGATTTTAATTTTCTTATATTTTTTATTGAATCCAAATGGAGAGTACTTCCTTATTTACATTGTAAACTTAAAGTAAATGGACATATAAATACTGTAAAGACATTTACTTAAATGTTTAGAAAAACTGTCATCTGTTATCCTTGAACAGTTTTTTGAAATAACAGTTTTTCTGGAGCAGTTCATTTCGGCCGACCGAAATGAATATGCAATAGATACCGGTCGACCGGTATCTCATGGAATTTGTGCAGTAGTCATGCTAAGTCGAAACTCACAACCGGCAGACCGAAATGGGGGCATTCGGCAAACCTGATTCATTTCAGTTGACAAATGAAAATACAAATTCAAATCATGCGGCTTCTTTGTCTTGAGCCTTGTGTGCTCCACTCACAGCAGCTAAAATTGACCTTGCTTGATCTGCATATCAAGAAAGATTCTTCTAAATATTTGAGGAGACTTTAGGGAAGAATATTGATGCTACAAATTCAAAATTTAGACAGCTATTTCTTTCTTGACCTTTGTGAACTCCAACAGCTACATTTGACCTTGCCTTATCTATAAATCAAGGAATTCAATACGGGATATGAGAGAGGAATATTGAAAAAGAAAACAGAGCTATTATTCTTCATTTTTCATCATGTACATCATATTCATCATTAGAGAGTTTTGAGCTTCATTGTATTCATATATACACTCTAGAGTGAGCTTAAACTTTGTACTACAAATCTGTGAGAGATTATCTTGTTCTGAAAATCTGATATTCAAATCTGTTGTAAAGCCTAAGACTCTTAGCAAAGGATGAAGAAGCTAGTTGGCTTCAAATTTGTAAGGGTTGGTGTGACCCAAAGGAAGACTAGGGAAGGTTGTTCCCTTAGCAAGGTGAAGCAAGGAGTTGCTTCATGTAAAGGTTTGTTCTCCACCCGTAAGGAGGTGCCATAGTGGATTGGGAAGTTTCAAGAGGGGTCTTGAGCCGAGGAGTAGGAGTTTCCGAACCTTGCTAAAATCGCCGTGTGAATGTTTGCAATCTCTTCCGTTATCTCCTTTACATTTATGCCATTGATTGCTTAAGTTTCTGTTTTAGCTATAATATCAAAGTAAAGCATGAAGCTATAAACTGTTTAAAGTTCTGAATTGATCATTGCATGAATGCATAAGGAACTGATTTGAACTTACTCATCAATTGAAAGGTGTTGAGTAGATATTGCAATTGCCCCCCCCCCCCTCAGAGTCAATACTTGGGCAACACGGACTTCAGTTTTTGTGTTCACTAGGTGTATTTTCTTGTTACAGTAAACTTCGTTTTGTTACAATAAAAATTATGTCACATGGTTTTTCTAAACACAGACTTAGATATTAGATTTAAGTGATCCCTGGTTCTTATCATTATGCGTAGTATAAATCACTATTTTTTACTACTTTGAACCTGTATATTGGGCCCTTTTTTTTTACATTGTCTTTTGTTTTGATTATCCATTATGTTTGTTTGATTTTGGGCATCAGATTTAATATTCATCTTTCCAGTGCTTGAATATTTTGGCGAGATTTAAATTTAGGTTGATGTCCAGAGACTGTTGTTTTTCATCTGGGGTTTCAGTTGCTGCAAGGTAAGTTCTAGATTTTTTTTAATAAAATTTTGAATTATTCTTGACTATGGTTTTTGTTTTTGGTGGGGTAAGAGTAGTATCTTAAAAAACGGTTGGATTTGATTTCTTTTGTAAGCATTCAGTAACTGGGTACCTAATGGAAATTGGCAGATTGGATGGGATTCAGTTATGAGAATGAGGCATTTTTGTATCATAATCCTCTTCTTCTTGCGGTCAGTGAAGCTTTTCTTTTGTCAATGTTTGTAACATTTTTTTCCTTTTATTAACTCATGTACTTCCGGTTTTGATGTTGCAGACTATGATGGTTTGGCTTTGGGGGGTAAATCTATGGGTCTTTGCTCAGACTAATATTAGTTATGCTAAAAATTTTGACCTTGATCAAAATTACCTCACGCATCAAGATATATGGAAAGTACTTGTATTTACAGCTAGTGCATTGACTGGACAAATACGAAGTTGTTTATCTAATAGTTCTAGATTCTCAGTTGATGCCAACATGCTCTGATAATATGCATTTATGTAATTCTTGCTTATCAGATCTCTTTTTAATTATCTTAACTCAACTTAAGGTGGTCTTGTTTCAACTATTTATGGTTGGATACATGAACCCTAATTCGTCGTTTTACTCAATCACATAAATGAGTATTCCCTCCATCCCAGAATTAGTGTCCATCTTTCCTTTTTTGGGATGTCACAAAATAAGTGTTGCATTTTTTTTTTTGTTTGATAAGATATCATTGAAAGCCCTCAAAGAGGGGAGGGAACCCAAAAGAATACAAAGGATGCTTAAAACGACACTAAAGTTTCAAGCTATCCACAAAATCCAAAAGATCCCCCATCGATAATGGTTCTTGAACAAACGGCTTGTTTTATATGAGCGAAAACATCATTGCTTGTGGAAAGAATCTTTTTTCATCTCATTTCAATTCTACAGGTTTCTGAATTACATTTTCTTTTTAGAACTTTTCATGTCTAATTGAACATGACTTTGTAATTTGTTGCAGCTGCAATTTTATTGTTTATTAATGTACCAAAATTAATCAATATTTATAATATGGAAATGCTAGATATAGTTGTGAATTTAAAATCAACTCAATTGCATTTCTCCGCACTGTTTAAACACTTGGTAAAACCTTAAAGGTATTCATGTTATCCTACATATTTTAGTGGTCCATTAATTATTAACAATTAGAATTTTAAAGCTGAAATTTTAGACCACCTTGTAATTGTTTTCAATTTTTTGCAGGTGCTCTCAGATTTGGAACGGTCAGTATGTCGAATGGTTCATCAACAGGTTAGTGTTTCTTTGTTCATCCTAGGCTCTGTTTATGTCATTGTATTAACTATTGTTTGACCCAATATTTTCTTTTTGTTCTTTTTTGCCCTTTTGAATTCTCTTCTTCTTGATGCCAACTAAACTTAGCTATCTCTTTGGCCCTTCCTTTAGGTTTTTTCTTGAGTCAAATTGTTCTGCTCTATGAATTTTAGCTCTGTTTCTTGAATCATGTGCAAAGCAGATCTTCATGTCATGAAGACTTCTATTTTCCCTTTTTTCAAAACCATTCCAAAATTATAATTATAATTTCTATTGATTGTAACAGAAAAACATTATATATGTAGCCAAACCCAAAGAGCTGAGATAAGTTATAGTAAATGGGGTAAATTTTAAGTGGAGAAAAGACCTTTGCTAAGACAACCTCTAAATTATTCTGTCAAACTAATTGATTATTACAAAAGAGAATTTATTCAATAAAATTCAATGAAGTACCTGAAAATAAAAGCGTTAAGACAAATATTTGGGAGTAAATCTGTGGATAGATTTGAGAGAAGGTTAGCAGGTTGGAAGAAGCAGTATCTTTCCAAGGGCGGCAGGGTCACTCTGATTAAGAGTACCCTCTCTAGCCTTCCCACTTATTTTATCTCTCTCTTTCAGATTCCATCTTCAGTTGCGGAGAGGATTGAGAGGTTGCAGCGTAATTTTCTGTGGGGGGGCAGAGGTGAAGAGTTTAAGTTCCATTTGGTGAGATGGGATCAGGTATGCAGGCCTATTCGGAATGGTGGGCTGGGTCTTCGTAGATTGGTGCCCTTTAATAAGGCCCTTCTTGGAAAATGGTTGTGGAGGTTTGGTGTGGAGAGACATTGGCTTTGGAGGAGGGTTGTGGCTTGTCGTTTTGGAGAGATGAGAGGAGGGTGGAGCTCTTTGGAAGTTAGAAATCCTCGGGGGGTGGGAGTTTGGAAATTTATTTGGAAGGGTTAGGATGATTTTTCCAAGCACATTCGGTTTCGTCTTAGAGATGGGAGGAGGATTTGTTTTTGGGAGGATGTGTGGTGTGGTGATGCTCCTCTTGCTCTTGCCTTTCCTCAGCTTTACAGGATTGCTTCGGATAGGCAAGCCTTGGTGGTTAACTGTTATCATCTTGATAATGGGAGACTGGTTTGGGATGTTCGATTCAGGCGTGCCTTTCAGGATTGGGAGATTGATGAGGCAATTCGTCTCTTAGAGTTGTTATATCGCCAGAGGATTGTGGTGGAGGATTCGGATTGTTGGTAATAGGTCGCAAACTCCAAGGGGCGTTTTGAGGTGAGGTCTTTCTTCAAGTGTCTCTCTTTTGATCCTGGAGTTCGTTTTCCTTGAAAGTCTGTTTGGCGTTCCAAGGCTCCTCTCAAAGTGGCTTTCTTTGTGTGGACTTCAGTTCTGGATAGGATCTTAACCCAGGATAATTTGAGAAGGAGAAGTCGAGTGGTGGTCAATCGTTGTTATATGTGTCTTCGTGATGAGGAATCTGTGGATCACCTTCTTATTCATTGCTCTTTAGCTAGAGAGTGTTGGGATTTGATGCTTGGCTTATTTGGGTTTTATTGGGTTATGCCAGGATCTACTACAGAGTTGATTGAGAGATGTGGAGAGGTTGCCATGTGGGGGCTCTCAGTTAGGATGCGTGGAGAGCTACGCCGCTTTGTGTGTGGTGGTGTATTTGGCTTGAAAGGAATAGGAGATACTTTGAAGGAAAGGCGATGTTGATTTCGGTGCTTAAATTCTCGATTATTTCAACTCTTTTTTGTTGGGTTTCAGGGAGAGATCATAGATCGTTGGGGGAAATTGTTGATTTTTTGGCCTCTATGAAGGCTTGAGTACTTTGTGCTCTTTTGTATTTCCTTGGGTTACGCTCCCCTCTTGAGCATCTTTTAATAATATTCTTTTATTTATCAAAAAAAAAAAAATCTGTGTTCTAAAGATTATCTGAATAATTTTTATGAAACTTCTTTGAGAACACAAAATTATGGCTGCACCATAAACTTTAGTTAATTCCAACGCCTTTTTAATGTTTACCTATCAATGATCTTATTTTAAAGTAATTTTTATAGGATAGAAAATGAGACTATTGTGCAAATTTTTATTTCAAAACAATCATTTTTTAAATTAAAATGTGCCGATAACAATTTAGGATGTAATATGTGACTTCAAAAAAATGCAATTTTTTCAATTCTATAGTTGCAACTTGAAGGTCTGTGAAGATATCATACATGCACAAGGAGTAGATTTTTGAGGTGGTGGTTTGATGTTTTTTTTTTTCAGTTATGACATTGCCAACAAGTTCTTACTTGTATTTCATTTCAAATTTCAAAATACTTAGAAATTCTACTGCTATTATTTGTTTTTTACCACCACACAATTTTTGTGATAAAGATAATATGCAATATTATGAGTTCAGTTAATTTTTGAATATTTTAAGTCATACCCATGCTCTCTTCTTTCATCGACCATTGCTTTATTTGTCTTGTTAGTTATTATGGAAATAGAGGAGCTTCCACGATCTGGTTGTTCCAGGGTTTCTTTGTTCTTTTCCTTTCCTTTTCTTTTTTTTCCCTTTGGCAATATCTTCTGCTGTTTTTTTCTGTGTTCTTTTTCTTCTTCTTATTCTTCTTTATTATTAATTTTTTTTGGTCTCTCTCTCTTATTTTGTGATTTTTCTGTGATTAAGATGCCTAGAGAACTGCTTTACACAACCCTTCTTCAACTTTTATTGTTGTTATTATTATTATTATTATAGGTCTTAGAACGTATAGTTTCTATGCTTTCATCAATAAATTGAAATCCTTTTGGGAAACATTCCTAGGGACGACATCTGGTGCAGGGATTGCTCCCTTGCTAGCACCTTCCCTAGACTTGTTAGGATTGCTTCTAATCGACATGCCTTGGTGGACGACTGCTATCATCTTGACAGTGGAAGAATGGTGTGGGATGTTCGCTTCTTGAGGCCGTTTAAGGATTTGGAGATGGAGGATGCTATTGATTTTTTTGGATTTGTTATATTGACAGGAGATAGTGGAGGAGATTCTGACCTCTGCATTTGGATTCCATCTTCACATGGGCGCTTTGATGTTCCGTCATTTTGTCGTTGTTTGTGGATGCTCCTACACTGTCATTTCCATGGAGGGCCGTTTGGCGAACAAAGCGCCTGTCAAAGTAGCTTTTTTTGCATGGACATCCGTTTTGGGAAAGAGCTTGACCCAGGACAACCTTTAGAGAAGAAGACATTGTGGTGAATTGGTGTTTTATGTGCAAAAATGACGATGAAACGGTTGATCATCTTCTTTTACATTACCCAGTGGCCCGTGATTGCTGGCTTTTGTTTTTGGGTTTGTTTGGGATTCATTGGGTTATGCCTCGGTTTACCAGAGGTTTGGAGAGGGTGTATAGTGGGGCTCAAGCTCGTGACTCTTGGAGGGTTACTCCTGTGTGTGTTTGGTGGTGTCTATGGCTTGAAAGAAATAGGAGATCCTTTGAAGGAAATGAAAATCATATTGGGTCGTTGAAATTCTCCATTCTTAGCACCCTTTTTTGTTGGGTTCTCGGAAGAAATTGTAAATCCTTGGATGAGCTTTTAGAGTTTTTGGATTTGTTGAGGGTTTAGAGGCCTATTTGGCCTTGTGCTGTTTTGTGGGATACGCTTTTAATGAATTTTTAATTATCAAAAAAAAAAAAAACTTTCCTTTTCTTCTCTACTTAATACAAAAAGGAAAAAAAAACACTACTCTTCTTAATTTTAGAGAAACTCATACTAATCAGTTTAGATTTGGGATCACACTGGAGTGTTGCATGGTTTTAGAGGGCCCACAAAATACATTTTCTTTGTAGTTGATTCCTGCATTCATCTTGTAATTAATAATCACTGATGGTAATGCTACTTTACAAGTGTTTCATTAAAATCACACGTCGTAGGATTTTTATATTCCCAAATATATGGCGCTTTCTCCTCTTTGTTTTTTATGAGAATGTGAAAAAAGAAAACTCTAGCCTTCTTACTAGGAGCAGGATGTACATGAGAGACTAAGAAAGAGCGAGGAGGTAGGGGTAGACCATTTTTATTAGTGTCCATTCTTATTTGAATCGTTTAAGAAAATATAAAGTTTATTTTTTCTCTTATTTATGAGAGTTTAGACCTGTAATGTTACAATGTCAAGTAAGATGAATTTAGAAGGCACTATTTATATGTAATACTTGGTTTTTGTATTAATAGGTATTTTGGGTAAAATGAGATAAATCCCCCCCACGCATTACTCATGTTTTATTAATCAAGAAACTTGGTCTACCTTTGTAAATTTTTCTTCCCTCTTTTGTGGTCTGTAAACTTGGAAGACCACTTTAAGCTATCGCTCTTGAATTTCTCATCTCTTTCCCTTCGCTTCTTTTCTTTATTATTTAGTTTAAACATTTACATTTCAATTCTTGTGCAGGTGCATGAGGTAGCACCGAGCCTCAATGATATATCTGATTTCCTGTTCTCAAACCAGTTGGGGATAATGCGGAAGTGGGAGTTGCCGAGCCCAAATCGGTGGTTGCTGAGGAGGCTGTGGCATCATCATCCACGACTGAGGAGGCTGTGGCAGATGATTATCTCAAACCAGTTGTCATCCGCCACAGCCTCCTCAGTCGTGGATGATGATGCCACAGCCTCCTCAGCAACCACCAATTTGGGCTCGGCAACTCCCACTTCGGCATTATCCCCAACTGGTTTGAGAGCAGGGGAATCAGATATATCATTGAGGTTCGGTCCTACCTCATGTACCTGCACAAGAATTATAACAATAAAGACAGAAAGAATGGAAGGAAAAAAAAAAGATGCAAAAGTCCGTCCACCTCCAATGGATCCAATGCCTGTGGAACAACAAAGAGATTATTATGTATGACCATTATTAATTGATATATTCTATTAATTACCTACTTGTAAATAATACTATCCAAACATGTGTGTGACATTTAACCTTGACAAAACTTGAAAAGCACATCTTGTAACTTTCTCCTTATTTTCTTCTGTTCTTCAATGCACATGGACATACAAGCTGTCTGCCCATGCCCATCTCCGCCATAACTACCTTACAGTGTTTGCTATAACTGCCTTGGAGATGCTTCGCCCCTTCCAATGGGTTTTTTTCCGTGTAGAGGAGGAGTGGAATAAAATGAAATCCAAATCGAACATTCAGCCATGTCGAATGAGGAAGAAAATTTGCTGAACAACAATGGTCACAATGTATAGCAGCACCATTCCTTCTCGTAGGCATCATTTGAGGTTTATTCTTTGTATATTTGTCCATTGGGTTAACCCATATATCGGTCGATGAGTTTTTTACGATTCTGTTATCATTCATTTTGTCATATAAAATATCACCTTGTTTATGGCAGAATAGGTCAAACGAAGGTTATAATATCCATTCATACATAGATACCCCATTTCTGTTAATTTGGATGTTATATTAAATTTCTCTCTTTCTTTTGAACTGTACTAATTGTATTGTTTCTCTTTTTATGGGTACTAAAAGGGTTCTTTGTGTTTTGACAGTTGATTGAAATATTTGGGAAAAATAATAATAATAATAATAATAAAAGTGGTTGGGAAGTAATTATTTTATTTATTTTGTGAGTAGTATGAGTAAAACAAGAATTTTTTTATTTTACAGAGTGTAACAAGAATTCATTTAGTTATAACTTACCCCCAAATAATAATAATAATAATTATAATAATAGTAATTCATTTAACTAGAAAAATAAAATAAAAATAAAATTCTAAAAACTAATTCCCTGTATTTTCTTTCAAAGCCTTCTGTTGCATGGAGGATGGTCAAAATACTATTTTAAGGGTTAGTTCTTCTCATGCTACAATTTAAACACTTTTTTCCTTTTTACCTTTTCATCTTATTATTATTATTCTTTTAACAATAATAATAATTATTGTTGGTGGATTTCTTTCAATTTTTTGAATCCAAAAGCATTGCCAGTATTATTACCATTTTCTTGATAAGTAAAAAGTGTCAAAAAAAATAAAAAAGAAACAAAATGTACTGAAATGGCACAAATCTACAAAAAATTGTCAAAATCAGAGAAGGAATCCCAAATTCCAATTGTCGTCGATTATTTTGAGGTACCTTCCACTCTTCTCTCTCCTTGGGAGTTACTGTTCCTCACTATGTTGAGGTTCTCTGTGAATCAGAGAATTGGGGATTTTTCTTTGGTGGTGTATTTGTGTTGGGATGATTTCTCTCTCATCTAATCATAAACTCTTGCGGGTCGTATCTATGGCTATGTGGGCACGTGTCTGATAAAGGGCCGGGTTTTGGGATTTTGGCTTCCCTTTGCTGTCCTTGCCGAAAAGGCAATCGTGCGCAGTGGGATGTAAAGCTGGGGGTTTTTACGCTTTGAACGATTTGCTGACCATTCTGTGAAAAGTTTTCCTTTCGATTCGGGTATCACTATAAGTTCTTGCGTTTTTATTTTAGTGTTAACTGTCTCTCTGTATGTTTTGCCTTTCAGCTTTCTTGGTTTGCCTTCCTCCTATGGTCCGTGGAACAGTTATGATGGATTTATTGGCCAGGAAGGGACGCTTTTGGTTCAGGAGGGTTCTATTGATCGCTGTTCTAGGCGATATTTTCCTCGTGTTGTTGGCGATTCCGGTGATGGCGAATCGCTGTTCCCGTATCCAGTAGGGGTTCCTGGGGAGTTTGTGCGGTATGGTGTTACGCATATTTGTAGCAGGTTGGGGCTACCTATCAAGTTTCTTGATCCACATCGGGTTTCTTTTGCCCTTGATAATGGTTGTTTGGTTCCTTGCTGGCCACTGATCACTTCCTTGCCGTTTAGATTGCCGGCGATGGCAAGCCTTGGAATGATGACTGCTCAGATGACAGTCTTTTCGTCTGACATAAATAATGATACTTTTCTGTTGGCGTGTTGACCACAGTTATCTATGCCTAAGGCCATTTACACCCATCTCTCCGAATTATGGCTCTCTAAAAATACCACATCAGTTTTTCCAAGAGCCACGTCAGCAATTCCAAGAGCCACATCAGCAGTTTTCGCTCTTCAAAAACATACACTTCATCAGGCTCTCCGAATTTTCGCTCTAAATAAATAATAATAATAAAAAATTAAAATTAATTTTTTTTTTTTTTAACTCTTCCTAAACGGCTATATTCGTAACGGTTATATTCATAACGGCTATATTTTTCATCTTATATAATGAATACTCATTTGCTTATCTGAAAATCATCATTACATCCATCTCTCTCCATTGTAGCAAAATATCATCATCCATCTTTTTCAATTTTGAAATTCCAATGGCTTCGTTATCACAAGCTTTTCCTTTGGCAGACTCCGAATTTTTATTATGTATTGGTCGTTTAAGATTAAAAATTATGAATTGGAATAAGAAAATAAGTATTACAAAATCATATGGAAATAAGTAGATGAATTTGTAATTTTAATTATTTTTTTACAAAAAGTTTTAAAAAAGAATTATATATATATTTTTTAAAAATTATAGCCGTTAAGACACTATTTGTGTCAGCCAAATAGTGCCTTAACGGCCAAATACATTATTTGTGCCTAAACAATATATTTTTTATTTAATATATTTTATTTTATTTTTTATTTTAAAAAAAAAAAGAGTTCAAAATAATCAATTTTTAGGTTTTTTTTTTAAAAAAAATAAATAAATATAAAAAATCTGCCGAACAGGGCCTTCCAGGAACAAGAGAAAAAAACAAAACAGGTTTGTTACAAACGGCGCCGTTTTGACGCAAAAAAAAAAAAAAAAAAATATTCTAGTGACTACGGGTTGGCTTGCTGAATACCGCGAGCGGACCAGCGAATAAAATTGGGCCCCACCAATTTGGCTATACCGCTACACTCCCAAAAGCCCTTCACGCTCGCGGAAAATGCGCTTTGGCTATACCACTGCACTTGCTCTTAGTGACCCTTCTGGTGGCTGCAAGATGAACCATATTTTGCTGGTCTTCTTTCATGGTGCTACCGACCTGATCATTTTTAATGGGCCTTTCTACCATGTGGGCTATGTACTTCCCTGGCCCACTTTGATTTTGCACCACGTTTGGCTCGGTTTAATGGATGGTTCAGTGGTATTACTGTAGTTTGTTTGTTCCTTTTTAAGTTGCTTGTGTCAATTACTTCGATGTACAGTGGGTCTGTTGTTTGATTTTTGTGTGGTTGTGTTTAGTGGTCATGTCTATTGTAGATGTCGTAGGTTTCTGTTGCCAGGGAGAAAAAAAGAAAAAAAAAAGAAAAGAAATTGTCTTCGATTATTTTGACATAAGACACGTGTCAGGAAACCCAAACCAGATAACTTGCGCACATTAGCACTCTTAACTACCACAAACTGCCTCGATGTCCCAGCTATACACTTCTCATGAACCACACAAAACAATGGTGTAGATGTTGGCCGTCGGCGAGAGAACCCTCCATCTCCGTCCAGAGCCGATTGAAGCCGAGGCAACGACACCAAGAGTAGTAACCATCTTGTCCTTCGTGCTGGAGAAGCTGGTGGCTCGAAACGACCGCCTGGTGGTCGGGTCAAGCCAGCAGCAGCTTGATGGCCTGAGCGGCGTCGTCTCTGCTCCACTGGGGAAGAGCTTGAACGTCTTTCACGGCGTGAGAGCGCCGAGTATTAGCATACCCAAGTACTTGGAGAGAATATATAAGTACACGGATTGTAGCCCGTCGTGTTTAGTAGTTGGGTATGTGTATATAGATCGGTTAGTGCATAAACACCCTGACTCGCTTGTGTTCTCACTCAATGTTCATAGATTGCTGGTCACTAGTGTCATGGTTGCCTCTAAGATGCTGGATGATGTGTAAGCTCTCTTTCTCCATGTGTGTGGACTTGATGCTTGATTTAGAATTTTTGATAGAAAAGTTTCGATTACTATTATTATTGGTAAGGTGTTTTTTTTTTTCATCAATCCTTTCTGGATTGAATTGAATTCATATGGATGTTTGCGTGATTGGTATTTTGTTTGTGTGGCAATTCGTAATTTGTGGAACTAAGATAGAATATGTTTGGTCTCTGTTTTCATCTAGAGTAATACCACCGTGAGGTTGACCTCATAACTCATCTCATATTGTCCATATACTATAATACTCTAATTCAATGATATTCAATGCTAATGTTCATCACAAACATGATTTTTTTTTTTTCTTTTCAGTTTCTATAAATAAAATTTAATACTCCCTTTGTCTCAAAATAAGTGTTCGGCTTTGGGACTCTGATTGTTGTTATGTGAATCTGTGATTGTGTTGCTAGGCATTATAACAATGCATTCTATGCTCGAGTTGGGGGAGTGAGCAACGCAGAATTGAACAAGCTGGAAATGGAGCTGCTTTTCTTGTTGGATTTCGGAGTTACAGTAAGCTCTCGGGTTTTCGAGAGCTATTGCCTGCTCTTGGAGAAGGAGATGCTGTGGAGCAATAGCACAGGCCAAAAGGTCGAAAGGTCAATAATGGCTAACGGTGTTGACAATGTGACTGAAATATCAGTGGAAGAAGATGCACACGGTTCTTCGCCGCCTCAATTGACAGACTGAACCAAGTTTTTCTTTTCTATATTCAACTGGTCTGACAATTCATGTAACCTAATCCATGGGACTATTATTTTTTTTCCTTCTTTTCTATACTATGTTTTTATGTGATCAATTAGCAGAATCGTTCAGCTATGTCTTTCACAAAATTGACCAGTGAACAAAGTTGACTTGATTGAAGTTGAAAGCAACACTCTTTTGATAGCTTAAATGCTCTGCTTGGATCAACCTATTTGTATCAAATTGTAACTTAGCTTGATGTAAAACATTTTTTAGAAAATATATATTTTTTATTTGTTTGGTATTTGATTGTAAAAAAATATTTATGAAGAAAAAAATATGTTAAATTTTTTTTAAAAAATAACTCATCATCAAATTTCAGCAAGTTATTTTATACGTCCTGCTCTATGGACTCGATCTCAATCTTGACCAAAACCTTTGTAAAACACCAATATATATATATATATATATATATATATATATATATATATATATAATTTGAAAAAATAAATTTTTTTCCAAAAAAAATATTTTATGTTGAAACAAACAAACATAGGTCTCAATTGAATTGATTATATAATCATGTACAATAATTAGGGGTGGCAATGGGGCGGAGTTGGGGCGCAGTTGGGTAAACCTTATTCCGTCTCGTAAGAAAATCCGTCCCTACTCCGAGATGAGTTTGTGATTGGTAAATCATTACCGTCACTACTCCGATAGATAAAGTACCGATTCCGCCCAATGTACTCCGTTTAATTATGGAACAAGCGAGTTATGCTACTTTTATTATGTAGAGAAAAAAAATTAAAAAATACTCAATGTACTAAAATTAGTTTAATAAAAAAGTTGCCCCAACTTTTAAATTATTAAGTATTGAATATTACTAGTAATAAATTAAACCAACATTTTCACCAATAAGAGTCTTAAAAATATTAAATATATATATTATATATATATAAAAAACAAATTTAAGGTATATATATAATCTGGACAGGGCTGTGCGAGTTCATCACTAAATTCGTCCCCACCCCAAACACACTGCAAATTAATCTGCCCCATTAAGGACTGACAAAAATCAGTCGGATGGAAAAAATTGCCATCCTAACAATAATTAGGTACAAAGCATCAATTTTTCCAAATAAATATGGCACTAATGTATTTTAGGGTAAGGAACAAATATGGACCGATGTTGCATTTGTAAATATTGGACCAATCATTTCACAATTTCAAAGCATCAGCACGAACTGCCAAACCGAAGTATGAAATAAAATACTGTAGTAGTTTGCTACATTTTCATTTGTGGTGCTACTTTTACTAAAATTACATTTTCTATATTTAGATTTAGGTTTTTTTTGGATTATAAACTCTTTTGTTTCAAAAGATTATCTTCGAAGTCCAAGCACCATAGTTGTGCATTTATCATTTAAAATATATATTCATCAAGTATATAAGGGTATCTACAAATAAAAGAAAGAATAATGTTAACTAAGAAGGATGGAGGCACCTCTTTATTTTACTTGAAATAGATGCAGAAGGAAAAATAAAATAAAATAATTTGATAGATTCATTTTTGCCAGTGACAATTACAAGTGGAATTTGTCCCCAGTCAAATTTAGATAAGGGTTGAAGTGTGTATAAATGAATGGGTATATCCAATAGTTTGAACTTTTAGATAAATGGGGAATAACCTAACCGTTACAATTGGTATCAGAACCAGACTCAGTCCTTAATCCAGTGTCACGCCAAGTACCTAGTCCAGAAGGCGCCCAAGTTTGTCCCTGAGTAGACAGGATCGTCCGATCGCAATGAAGACGTTGCGCGAGTTCGGATGAGGGCGAATGTTACAAATGAAATTTGTCCCACATCAAATTTAAATGGGGATTGAAGTGTCTATAAATGAGTATGTATATAACACTATTTAATATTTTAAATTTTTAAATAAATGAGCAAGCGTCTACACTTTACACAAGACTAAAGAGAGGTTTCATTTTAAAGAAACAAACAAAACTTGTACTTACCTTTTTCTTTTCCTTTCCTTTCCATCTAAACTTCATATCCAAACAAAGTGCTAAGTCTCTTCTAATTTTCGTAGATTCGATACGGTGCAATAAACTTACAATTTGCACTCGGCCGTACACGACCAGCAAAAAGAATTGCAATCAAGGTCTCTCGCTCCTCTCTCTCTCTCTCTCTACACACCACCGAATCCGATTGATCGACGGGAAGATCTGAAGAATCCCATCACAAATTTCGTGATTGAAGACATGAGAGTTTGAGAATTTTTGGGGACAGACGACCACGGTTTTTACTCTGCCATGGCTGATTATTCGAAGGAAGATTTGGTGCAGCTGCTCAGGAGATTTGGGGCTTATCTCAGCTTCAAGATGTCCAATCTCTTCCCGATCTCCCTCCGAAATATGGTTCTTATTTCAATTCCTCTTCTTTCCATGGTTTTTTTTTCTTCTTATTATTTATGCACGTATACAAACACATGTAGTATATGTACTGATCTGAGTGGCCTTTCGTGTAAAGATGTTTCCTTTTCAGTAGCTATTTTGATGATTAGGTCATATTTCTTTCATTCGTTTTTGGAATTGATGTATACGATTGTGTCGTGCTTTATTTTGATGATCTGTTGTGCTTTTAGTACCCTTATAATAAACCGATTGCTGGATCGTTAATTATGGTGTAATTTCATGTTGTATATGCTGCTTCAAAGTGATGTTTTTATTTAATATGCAAATGCATATTATGTTTAGCATAATTGAAGTTTAGTCCATATTCACTTAACACCAAAAGAGAAGGGGAGGGGTGGTTGGCGGGTTGGAGTTTAGTCCACATTGGTTTTCTCAATCAAATTCAACTAAAGGGCACTGATTTTGATTACCTGGCAACTGTATACCCATTTTTGGAAACCCGATCTACTTGGAACTTCATATTTGATATAATGACAGGATCATAACACTCTCACTGACAAGGTCCCAACCCACATTTTTGCCTGACATGTTCATTGATTATCATTTTGTACTATTAGTGTAGTTAAGGATTTCAGTTTTGGTTGTGAAGTACAATATTTAATAAAACGGACTTACGATTGTGAAGTACAATATCTATTAAAATGGTGTGTTGGTTAAATATATATATTTTTTTTCTAGTTGGTACTCACACACACATGCCTCTACCGAATAGTGACTCACAATTGATATTGGGCATGTTTGTTTGATTATGGCCACATCAATTCAGGTAGTGCTATATAATTTGTTTCTTTTTGAAAATCACATCAAATTCGTAAAATTATTCCTACTTACCTAAAAATTGAGTTTGTTGAAATATTATATATAGAGTATTGATCTTAGAAGACCATCTTTAATCATATATGGTCAAAATAACCTATTAAAAAAAATAGGATTTGATTGAAGAAAGAAAATGCAAATTTATTTGAAGAGAATAAAAAATAAATAAAGAGGAAGAAGAAGAGTACGAAGGAAAAGAAAGAAAGAAAGAATTAGGGAGATTTTAAAAAAAATAAAAAAAAATTCAGGGGCGCACTATGTATTTTATTTTTTTTAATAAAATGCATTACATATATATATATAAAATAAAAAAATAAAAAAATAAAAAAATAAAAAAATAAAAAAAATAAAAAAATTAGTGCACCATGTCTCCCCCCCACCCGGCGGGCGCGCGGGACCTTAGTTGGCTTCGTCCTCTTTGTTTTCCTTGACATTGTCTGCTTAGCATTATTTAAGAAGTATTTTTCTTGTTTTGTGGATTAGAATTTATTATCAACTATCAATAAATGAGAGGAGTCTTTTGCAATACGACTAAATATCGTCTTAACAAGCAAGTTAGCTGCTTTGCTGATCAGTTAATTAATTCTTATCTTAACAGAATGCCTAGCCGCCACTTCACCCATTAGTTGCCCAAACATGGCATCAAGTGCCACATGGCCCATTCATATGTAGAGATACTCCCACCTTGGCTGTCTTAGTTGGTTAATAATGATTTTTTCAGCACTATAACTTGTGTCTATTCTGCTTGTTGTTTCTTGTGTTGAATTTGGTTCTCCCAAGCAACTAAATAAATGAACACAAGTTTTTCTTTTCTTTGTCTCTTCTCTTAAAATGAAAATGTAGTATCTGCCAATTAGGGAAGGTTGAGCAATATAGTTTGTCATTGATGCCTTGTAAAATCTCATCTTTGGTCCCATGGTATTTCAACTTTTTGTTGAGAGGGTAAATTAAGTATGTAATTAAAAAGAGATTAGGAATAAGAATATTGCAAGTGCCTTAATCATTGTATGATCTTTTCACTTCTTTGAAATTTCTTGCAGGATTCAAGATCAGTTGGGGCTATAGCAGGGCTTGCTGTTGCAATAGTTTTTACGTGGAGACTATTGAGATCACCCAGTGGAACTCAAAGAAGGCAACCTAAACGGCAAACTCCTACACCTAGTAGTTCTGGCGTAAACACTCAATCTAATGCAAATTTGATATCTTCTGGAGTTTGCTCATCTTCAGAAGACTCAAGGGCACAGAATGTTATTGATGAGTTATTTGAGCCCGTCAAGGTAACAAGCAATCATTTATTTAGTCACATTTGAATTCTATATTATTTTTTAATTGATGGTTATATTAAAATTATTACTTTTCCCCATGCAGCCAACATTGGGCCAATTAGTTAGGCAGAAGTTGAGTGAAGGAAGGAAGGTAATTTGTTATGCACTTTAATAATCTATTATGCATTCACTATTTATTTGGTTTTGCTTTTAATATTCTGCTTAATAGAAGTATTATTGACAATTTCAGATTGTTCTTCCATTGTAAGTGGGACTATTTAATTTCTTTCAGATAGTACTTCCATATATTGCAAGTGGGACTAAGGGCCTGCTGGTTTGTCTTTGAGAAAACAGTTTTCTATTTTCAGATAACTGAAAATCAGAAAACTGTACAAAATGTTTTGCTTGGTTCAGTTTTCTGATAACTGTTTTATGAAAACTTGGTTATAAAAATGTCTATTTTCAGACAGTTCTCTGAAAACAGTTTTCTGTTTTTTGAATTCTTGAGAATTGTTTTCTGAGTGACAAACCAAGCAGGCCTAATTTTTTTCAATATGATTGTAGTTGATTCTTCATTTCGAGGAATTGAAAACCTTAATTTTCTTTGTCAGTTTAATTGAACTGACAACTTTTATTAGTCAAATCTGATAAATATAGAACTCACTAAATAATTTGATTTTGAGGGTTTATTGAAGAATTTATGGTCATGTTTAGAGTTTTTTAAGTGATGTTTCTTGCTGCAAATGTTACAAAATAAAATTAGAAATGTAGTATTCCTGTTCACAAGTTTTGCCATAGTCACGAGTCCACATTTTTGTGGACTGTAATGTGTTTTTGAAAATTGTTACAGCTGTTTGACAAATTTAAGCATCGGAAAACTGGAAAAGTAACTTTGAATCTGATCCTTATAAACTACTCTATACCTTTGATGTTTTGATGCCTTTTCTGTAGTTAATATATATTCCACCATAAGAGTTCAGTGGTTCCTCCTGTTTAGGCACTATTAACCGTGCCTTAGCTGGACGAGTAAACAGCTCTTGCTTGCACTGGGTGTTATGAGTAAACTGGGTGTAGATGTTGTTTGTATGTTTTGACTCCTGGAATCTAAGCAACTAAGACAGCCAAGCTGGACGAGTAAACAGCTATTTGTTTGTATATAATATTGCATATTTAAACATACATTATTATATATAATCATAATCAAGCAATAATTGTAGTTAATGTTAGTGGTGAACCATAAATTTATGAATTTTGTCAAATATTTAATAAGGTTAAACAATACGATATTTATGATATAGAACCTTTTAATTTAGTAGTCATTAAGTAAAAAAGAAAATGATACGAATAAATGATTAAAAAATACAAGGCGCGCCTTTTTTGAGCCTGGAGCCTACTAAAAAGCGTGAGCCTGAGAGTTTTTTGTAAGCCTGATTGAAGGGGCCCGGCCTGTATTACGTTGAGGCACTCTAGCTGAGCCTTGATGAGCCTGGGGATTTTTTGGAGCCTAGGCGCGCCTTTAACAACTATCCACGAGGATTTGATCAAATATTTTATAAGATGGATACACAAAAGTATCAAATCAACTGAAGTGGAACTTTCTGGCATGAAAGATTGATGCTGTTTGAGGTTATTTACATCCAAAAGCAGACTTAAGGGACTGAAATGGGAGTTTTGCTCTAGTTGTTGGCCTAAATGAAATTCAAGGAGTAAATTATTAACTACAGAGTTGTAGCCATACTGTTTTATCAACCGATGAAGAATGGCTCAGTGCTTAGAGGATAATCATACAGAATATATATAATGTATAATTGTATATCTCTAACAAATTTTGTGTACCGTTGTTTTTTTTTTAAAAACCAGTCTGGAACTTTCGGATTTCTCTGGTATTAGGAACCTTATCACTGTCTATAGATCAAATAATTTTGTAGATTGGATTTTAATTGACTGTCTACTGCTCCATTGCATGTGCTTAGGGTAGAAGTTTCGGACATATGTACTGTCATGCTATTAAAATGCGCACACCCACACATGTGAACTCTATTAATTCTAAGAAGTGGTATAGGATAGCCTGGTCGAAGTATAGTATATCATACATACATGATGCATTATATGTCCCATAAATGGTCTTCACAGGAACTATTATCTTGCATTATATGTCCCATAAATGGTCTTCACAGGAACTATTATCTTCATTCTTAACCATTCATGGTTTTCATGCTGTTTTTGTGCAGGTAACATGCCGGTTGCTTGGCGTAATACTTGAGGAAAGTAGTCCAGAGGAGCTTCAGGAGGTGACATTCTCTTCCAAATGAACTTTGTGGACAAATTAGTTTGAAGAGGATTAATGTTATGTTTTACCTTGTTCTTGTAGAAACAAGCAACTGTGAGATCCTCTGTGCTGGAAGTACTGCTGGAGATCACAAAATACTGTGACCTTTATCTCATGGAAAGAGTTCTCGATGATGAAAGTGAAGTGCGTGCTAATTTTTTCACTTGTACCATTGTTTGTGATTGTTATCACTTTTTTAATAATCTTGTGTCATAGATCATCTGCATAGCGTTGCCTGAGCAAGTTTTTGCATGTAGGAATGACAGTTTTAGTGGAAATTCTGGTAACCTACTTCAACTTACCCCAATTGGACGGAGATGGAACATCTGAAATAAGGGTTAGGGTGTGACGGGCATAAGGATTATAACACAACTTGGGTTCAGAGGGGAGCTAGGATAAGAACCAATCAATCCTCCTGCCTTGGCTAAATTGTAATACTATGAAGTCATATGGCAGTAGGTATATATTAGTTTACATAATCATTTTTTAGTGCAGTTGAACAAACCTTTGAAGTCTTTAGACCTTAGTAAAGTTCCATCCTTTGAGTTTTTAAAGATTGATAAAACATTAAGTGCACAAAATCCAAGTCCTTTGAAGTGAAAAAAACCAAAAAGATGCCCGTCCCACATTGATTCGGGCATATGAGTAAGAGTTGCTCCCAGCACCTCTATGAATGTAGTCATCGATGCATTTGTGAGCTCTTTCTGTTATTCTGAGCAAAAGCTACTTGCTTATAGTTCCACATGGCTCTTGAGTTTATCGAAGTAAATAAAAAAATTTCCTAAGTATATACAATACTGCCATTCCTGTAAGCGTGTTCCACCATGGCTGTGGCGCCATGGGCACTATTTTAATTAATTTTTCGAAAAAAAAAAAAAAGACTGATGGGAGTCCTGCTCCACCCCAAAAAATATTGTCCCCTCTTGCCTGTCCTGCCTCAAGTTTGAACTTTGAGGTGGGTTCAAGAGAGTTTTTGCTCCCAGGGTGGTGTCACAAAAAGGGTTCTTTATCCAAAACATGCCCTGTGGCTATTGTGTGCATAGCTCCGGAAGTTTTACGTGGACATTTTCTTAACTCAATTTTTTGCTTTCCCTAATAACTAAACTTCAGTTTTAGTGTCCTTTGCTTGTTCACCATGTAATACGTTGGTAGGCTATCCTTATGGTTACTGATTGAGACCTTAAGACCTTAAGTTATGCTTTTCATTAATATTCTCTGCCTAATCTGCGGGACCGAAAAATTAGAGCGATATATATATATATTTTTCTTTTTGTTTAAGTACCATGTGAAGTCCTCATGGAATTGTAAACATTCTTTATTTGGATAATTTTTACCTGCTTGGGCTATTATGTTCTTACTAATATATATATTCTGCAAGGACTTAGAAATTGTATGAACCTTTTTTTTTAACAAACGAAATTGTATAAGCATCTGTAGTGTTTATCTTTTTTGGAATGAGTTCAACCTTGAGAAAAGCATGTTCTTTGATTTGGCTCCTAGGCTTATCAGGAAAAATAAGTTCAATTGACAACTATAATAGTGGAACTCAATTATAGGGTTACATAATTAATAAACTTATCATAAAAGAAAGAAAGGAAAAGAACCGTACATCCAATTGCTTTTGTCTAGTATATTTAGCTATCATTTGTGAAATATTACAGTTGTGTCACTTAGTCTCTTAAATATCTTTTTTCCGTTGCAAAGTAGATTGTATGAGATTGGAATATTTCTGAGATGAGAGGTTTGATCTTTTCATTGCCAGTTCCTGCTTGAATTCAGAACAACTGTGCTATAATTTTTTTTCGTTAATGATGTCTGCTTGAAAGTTATCATTTTTCACACGTGTCCTTTGACTTGTATATTCAAGTCATCTTTAAGGACGGGCATGCACATGCTTTTGGCTCTTTATGATTGATATGATGAAGTTGCATTTATGGGTTTTAGACTGTACTATGTGTATGCTTTTGTGTTAATCGACAAGTGCTTCTAGGTCTTGGTTAATTATTATCATGTATTAGCATCGTGGTTTGATGGTTTTAAGTTTTCTGTTTGTTGGCTTTAAACCATTAGCTGCTTTACATAGCTTCTGTCTTTGACTGTTAAATTGTTTTATTTGTTATTGACGGGAATGAATATAAAGGAGTTCTCCTTGCCATAATGGAACAAATAATTGTATGCAGAGCAAGGTTCTCCATGCTTTAGAAGATGCTGGGATTTTCACATCTGGCGGTTTGGTTAAAGACAAGGTACCGTGTTCATTTAATTGGTATATTAAAAACCATTTGAAATACTATAAATAATATTTTCCTGCCATAAATATGTCTACTGAGTTGGGTTAATTTCACCCAATTAGTTTCCATTTTCCAAGTGAAGTTGTGCAATGGCATACGTTTGGAATCTGTTGTAACCAAGTCTTTATCAATATTCTTTGAGATATTATACTTATCTGCTGTAACCAAGTCTTTATCAATATACTTTGAGATATTATCAGATTTTAAACTTCTCTAAGGCTTTTTTCCAGATTTTCCTTTAGAAGCTCTTATAAAAGGGACAACCCTCTATCTGCTGTAACCATATATTTATCAATATACTTTGAGATATTATAAGATTTTAAACTTCTCTAAGGCTTTTTTCCAGATTTTCCTTTAGAAATCTAGGCTCCAACAGTGATTGGAGTAACCCTATTCTTTCTTAGTGCTCTTAAGAAGATTTCTGTTTCTTTTGGTTTGCTTCAAGTAGTATCCCCTGCTATAAGATCTGTGATTATTGCAGATCTATGGCAAGGCAAGGAAGCAAGATAGCTACAAAAGAAGACGTTCAAAAACTGCAGCATCAATTTTCTCGACCGAGCACTCTATTAGAACAATATGGAATCATTTCTTCTCCGATTCTGGACAGTAGGAGAGAAAGGGATCAGCAAATTGATGCATGTGAAAGAAACAGAAATCTTCTTAGAGCACTAAGAAAAAATAAGGTTACTCCAATCAACGTTGGAGCCTAGATTTCTAAAGGGAACTCTTGGAAATGCCTTGTAGAAGCTTAAAATCTGATAATATCTCAAAGTATATTGATAAAGACTTGGTTCGGCAGATACATAGGGCTGTCCCTTTTATGAGACAAGTATTAATGACACTTACTCTAGACTTTTCACAAAACATTAATGACAACTTCTACTGTTCCAATGACTTTTCAGATTCCCATATCATAACTACTACTTAATAGACTTTGACTAAACACTTTTCAAGACACTATTAACTGCCTCAATCCTGACTAGAGACGCTATTAAGTATTAGTATCATATATGCCAGTATTTTTTAACTTGCATGTAAATACACATTTTATACGCGTAGTGCACGCAACTTAACTAACTGGGCTCTAGACCTATAATGGGGCAAGATTCATTTCAGGGAAATATGTCTCCCGCTGATGCTGCCAGTTCAATTCTTTCACTCTGAGCATGTCTGAAGTGGAAGGTCTTGAAAATTTATAGATTTCCTCTCTTGAAAACTAACGGCATTTGATGGTTCATACCACTGAAAATTCTTGAAGATTCTCTTGTTCCATATATTCCCAGATAAGCAGCACTTCATAATTTTTGAAGAAGCTAACCCTGAGGGTTCATGTCCTCATTGGGGCAAAGTGGGTGTGTGAGTTTTAAAGAGAGAGAGAGGTAGAGATGGGGGACAGGTAAAGAACTGAATTATACTTGCACAAATATTACAATGAAAAGAAAGCATGCTTCCTCGATTCTTCAAGGACCTAGCCAAGATATTCCTTTCAAACTTTTGTTGCAATGGCCACTTTCCCTTCCTGTAAGACAAAGGGAATTCCCCAATAGAATGAAACCTACATTGCAATTATCTTACTAGAAATGGGTCATTTAGAGCCACTGTAATTACTTGGTATGCCCGCCTTTCATTCTATTCCCCTTTTGTGCTTCTTTAATTGATGTCTATATAGAGTCCAGTTATCCTGACTCACGCTTGTGGAGACCATCAGGGCTGAAATCTCCCTAGACTTGCTTCAAGGCAACAATTAGAGCCCCTTGCTTATCCATTTCTATGGAAGAAAGATAGCAAGAGAAAAGACGGTTATAAACAATCTGCTGACGTATACTGTTGTTCAGTAATGGGTACACATTTTGACCATAATATCTATATCCTTGTTGAATTTTGTGTATGAATGGATAAATTTTGCCTGATATTGCCTACCTTTATAATTTTTTTAATCATATTTTTGTGTCTTAATTCTCATTAATGCACCTGCAGGTTCTCTTTTGTAGCACAGAGAATGGGAGAACATCCTTTGTTCGACAATTGGAGCCTGATTGGCATATTGACTCGAATCCTGAAATTGTTTCTCAGTTGGCGGTATATTCTTATTTCTTGTAACTAGGAAACATAAGTGTGAAATCATATATATGAACATGTATCTAGAACTTGTATCTTGGCATAGTGGTACTTCTGGCTACTGTGGAGGGGACAGTTGGATTCAAATCTTATCACCTATCAACTATCTTACAGTAAATTAATTTATACAGGCAAGAAAAGTATTTATCAGACAATGAATCCTCATTTAAATAAAAAAAAAATTCTTAAAATAACAAGCGAAATTAAATTAGCAAGATGGAATGTAGGAACATTAACCATTAAACATCATTTGTTTGCAAGAAACAAAATGGAAAGATGAAAAAGCTAGGGAGATAAGAGAATGATATAAACCATTTTATTCAAGAGGCAAGATAATCAAAGGAATGGCATAGGCATGGGCATAGTTGTAAACCATTACATGAAAGATAAAACTGTAGAAACAAGAAGACAAGGGGATAGAATAATAACCATTAAGGTTGTTATAGATACTACTATTCTAAACCTAATTAGTGTGTATGCACCTGAAGGAGCATTAGATGAAACTACAAAAACAATTTTGGTAGTTGATGGAATAAGTGATGTAATCCATATACCCTAATCACAAGAGAATATGCATAGGAGGTGAATTTTAAAAAAAAAATAATTATTATTGTTTAAAGTAAGTTTGGATTAAAAAGGCATTCAAAGGGGGAATGCATCCCTCAAAAGCTACACAAGGCCAAATAGGGCCTTTAATAAACTCTCAAAAGAGTAAAAAAATCAACTCTCTCCTCCATGGATCTACAATTTCTCCCTATAACCCAACAAAAAAGAGTACTAAGAATGGAGAACTTCAGTATTCCAATAGGAGTCTCCTTCCTTCGAAGGATCTCCTATTTCTTTCGAGCCATAAACACCACCAGATGCACAAAGGCGCTACCCTCCAGAAATCACGGACTTCGGCACCCACTATACAACCTCTCCAAGCCTCTGGAGGACCTGGGCATAACCCTACTGAACCCCAAATAATTTCTCCCTGGGGGGTGATTTTAATGGGCATAAACAAAACATACTAAATGATTTATATACAAAATTAGACACAAAGGAAGGTGAAAGTTATTTATAAATTGGCAAAGTGTAGATAAATCAATTAGAGACATGGATCAAATTAGATTTATTAAGGATGTAGAAAACAAAATATTAATTAAGGTTAATGACATATTAGCTAGATGAAAAAATTAATTTTTGCACCTTCTTAATCAGGAATACCTAGTGAAGAAGTGTAAAGTAATGAATTTATGTAGGAATGATGAGTAATATCAACAATAAGGAAGTAAAGATCGGAAAGAATAAAATGGTTGGCTAAGATAACATTTCTATCTAAGCAACCATTCAAAAAAAACATTTCTATCTAAGCATGGAGAAAGTTAGGAAAGGTAGGAATTGGCTGGCTAACAAACTTATTCAACAAGATTCTAAAAGATGGAATTCTGGAGGAAAAGCACCATAGTACCTATTTACAAAAACAAAGGGCATATACATACTTACAACAATTATAGAGGAATATTTTAATGAGTAATACAATGAAACTATCGGAAATGGTGATACAGCAAAGATTAAGGAAGGAATCTACAGTGTCCAATAACCAATTTGGATTATGCTGGGAAGATCTAGAGGCTGTTTACTTAATAATACAATTATTTGAAAAATGTAGGAGTAAGCAAAAAGATTTACAATTGATCTTTAGACTTGAGATATAATTTGGTGGGATTTACAAAGATAACAAATTCCTCTAAAAATATTAAAGATATTGAATCTAGAGTTCGTATTACATGCGATGAGACTAGTGATTTTTTTTATAAACGTGGAATTGCACCAAGTAAATATTTATTCGCAATAATTCTAGATGAGATCACAAAAGACTTAAAAGGAGACATTCCATGGCGAATGTTTGCAAATGACGTAGTTCCATTGAACACTTCTGAAGGAAATTTTAGCAATAAAATTAGATATGTGGAGTAACACGTTAGAATCAAAAGGTCTAAGAGTTAGTAGGACTAAAACTGAATGTGTGGAATGTAAATCTAGTAAACAATCAGATATGAGTTAATGATCACACTTCAAAACCAAAGGATTATCAAGGTGACCATATTTTATATTTAGGGTCATTTATACAAAAGGATAATGGGACAAATAGTGATATAACTAGTAGAATTGGCATAGGGTTGGACAAACATTTTGTGTGGTAAATGAATAACAAATAAACTAAGAGAAAAAATTTGTAGGATAGTTATTAGGCCAAATATTTTATATGGTGCAGACTGTTGAACGCTAAAAAAGAAATAAGGACAACCAATTCATGTAAGCAGAAATGAAGATATTAAGATGGATGATAGGAGTAAAGAGAAGAGACAAGATTACAAATCAAATACTGTGGGAGAAATTAGGTGGTGCCTATTAGTGATAAGAGAGAACAGACTTAGGTGGTATGGACATTTACAAAGAAGACTTGTATATGCACCGGTAAGATGAGGAAGGCTAATTTATATAGAAAGTAGGAGACAGAGAGAGCGACCAGAATTACCATGGGATGAAATTATTAGAAATGACTTTTGAAACATCATTGCTGCCATCAGCACATAGTGTTCAATGTTTAATAAGATACATTCGCAAATTTTGAAATTTGATCACATTGATATTTGTTGAACTTTATAATTTCAGACTTGGGTCTCTTCCCAATGTGTGCCTTGGGAAGGCCAAAAAAGGAAAATTGTGTTATTGCACTACTACATTAACTTTAGATTACAACATATAATATTGTTTGTATTCTATTGTGTATGCTGGAATTTCCCTTATTCGATAGATATACTTTGCGGTTATTTTCATCATACTTTGATAAAGACAAGTATTTCTTCTGTAATGCTGGCCTTCTGAATTCATAATTTCTTTTTTGTTGGTTACAGAGGTTCATCAAATATCAGCTTCACATTTCGCCAGTCAAACCTGAACGAACTGCCCCTAACGTTTTTAGCTCCCAATCCTTGGAACAGTTCTTTGGATGTGTTTGATGCACAAACCACTAAAAGATGCAAATACGTTTTTTACCTAGGTTTCTCTTTTTCTTCATCTTGCGTTTAATCTGCATTATACATTATGTCCTGTTCATTGTACTGGTGCTCATCTGCAGTTGCCGATTTTCTAGACTATGTACTGCCTTAAATTAACTGAAGAATCTTTCTTTGATCTTTGTGCAATAGATTGAATCGCATTTAATTAGTGTCAATTGTTGAAGTTCATAAAATGGTTGTTTCTTGTAATTTCTGTCAGTTAAATATGATACCATCTAAGATGATAGATTTGATTTTATTGCTGCTGTTCGAAAATCAAAAAACTGTGTGAGAGCAAAAGGTTGATGGTTTATTGGAAAGAAACTTAGTTTTTGCATCACAAGTTCATGGACCATGCTGATTTTACTGCTGTATTTTTTCTTACTGTTATTTAGTCCCAAAGAATCCTGAAGATGTGTGATCCAATCAGCTCCTTCGATGTTTCTATGGGTGTAGACTGCAATTATGCTTGATTGTTCTAGAAAAAAAGGATCCTAATTAGACTTATTGCTAGAGATCTTCAATGAATAGTCACTTGTTTTATGTTTCATATGCTAATTTAATTTTGTATAGGCTGTGCTATTGTTTTGATTTTTTTTTTCCTTTTTTCTGGAGTCTATTTTTTCTCATCAAGTATATTGGAATGTCGACTAGGGCAGCCTACTTGTCCACAGGTAAGGACTGAGGGCTGTTATACTCGCCTATAAGCTGGAACTGTACTTGAGCAATGGCAGTCGATTTGGTGGGTGCTTGCTCCTGTGCATCCAGTTGAGCTACTTTAAACCCTAAACTAAGAAAAATGTCTAATCTGATTAGTTTTTCTTTAGCACTTCTTAAATTCACCCCTCTAGTTAGTAGATTAGGATCCTCTCCTCTACAAGGAGATGACAGGAGAGGTCCGGTACTTTTAAGCGTATGAAGGCCACGCCAATTTTGATGCACATGCAACACCCATTACATCGAGACCCAACATGGGCAACATAATACCATTACATTGAGAATGTTGTATTCTTAATTTATTTGTGTTGCTGACTCAATGTAATGGTATTGTGTGTTGCGTCTTGATGTAAGTGTTGCGTGTGCATCAAAATGACGACGTCGTTCTTATACGCGTTAAAGTAATGCATCTCTCCTTGTACAGGAGAGGATACGAATCCCTAGGGTACGTTGCTTAAACTATTTATACTCGACCTAGTGGACATTCAATTTCTGTATTCATATGGAGATTAAGCAGGTTGACGTGGTTCAATGCTTGTATTGAATGGAGGTTAAGCATGGTTCATTCTTTAGATTTCATATTTACAGTTTTCAATCATTAATAGACATTGGAGCGGCATAAATGTATCCCAAGTGTGCATCTATTTAACAATGTCTACACGTTCAAATTCAACCCAAGTTGAGTGGAAATTTTTTTTAAAAAAAATTCAAATACTCCATCCGTTTCAAAATTTCCCCCTTTTTGTTTTTAAGATGTTTCTCTCATGGCCAATTTGAAAAGAAAAAAAAGTGAAGCTTTAATGAGCTCATTATAAAAGTAATGTGAGCTCTCTGTTTTTTTAACGTTAGTTGCCTACAAATTTTGAGAAGACCCAACTGGTTGAAGGGAAACCTATGAGAATTATACAATTAAATATCGTATCAAATTTTATTTAGGGTAAATTATACGTTTTAATCAAATTATTATTTTCTCTTTCTTTTGACCTTTTAAAACCAAACTATCTGTCACCTTTGACTAAATAGTATAATTTTATTTTAGAATATTTTAATATATGATTTATTTTTTAACACCGGTGTGTGTATAAATATTTTGTATAAATATGATGTGTCATGGTAGATTTACATAAAATTGTTGTTTTATACATTGGGTAAATTATGACCTCCCTTCTTGTTTGACAAATTACACTAACCTTCCTTCAAGATTTACAGAGAGTACCCCTCCATTAACAGCCGTTAAAGGTCAATGCCCGGTCAATGTTAGTAATTGTTGATGTAAGTTTAAAATTACTAAAGTGCCCTTTTAGTTATTATGAAGACAAATTTGACCTTACTTACTGAAGTAAAATTACTTAAAACCATGGTTGCCATTACATTATCTTCTTCTTTAAAGCCTTTTGGGCTCTCTGCAATTTTTACTTGAATGCATTGGAGCCACTAGTACAAGCTCTCTCCACTCAACCTTACAAAAAAAAAAAAACAAAAAAACAAAACAAAACCTCTCCCTGCTAATTGCCTTTTTCTTTTCTTTTTTTTGCCCCTTCTCTCTTTTAAACTCACCATTGAGTTACTTCATTCTTCATGTATTCCTTATTATGTAGAGTAAAGTACAAGAATCATCCAATATCAATGCCAAATTTTCTAGGTGTCTTGGATTTGCACTTCGTTTGTAACCAAATGCAATTGGATTAATTATAAATGGAAGATGGAGAAGATCTACTACAACCAAACCTCCAATTATAAATAATCCAATTGATTATTTGGTGCGTTTGAGTTTCAGCACCAACTCTAGGTTTCTGCCATACCCATTTGCTCTCTTTCTTACCTTATTTGGATTGCCTTCCTAAATCCTCGATGTCGTCACCAATCAAACCCAAATATATATACACCAAATCAAACAGATATATCATCCCTCTCTCTTCTGAAATTGTTTCTCATCAAACAAATATATTTAAGTGTATATATATATATATATATACTTCCAAATTGTTTCTTTTTGACATATGGATAATTTTGTATTTTCAATGTTCATCCTTTCGTAAATAAAATAAAATAAATATAATGAGGACATATATGTAATTTCACTTGAACGGTTAACACCATCCACTCGACAGCTATAATAAGGAAGGTTGGTGTAATTTGACAAATATGAGGGGAGGTCAGTGTAATTTTTCCTTAGAGCATCTCTAACCGTTGTGTATATATTTTCGTGTAAATCTGATGTGTCAGAGTAGATTTACACAAAAATTTTACAGTACCTATTTTTAGCTCCAATAGTTGTTTTATACCTTTTGTGTAAAAAAAATCCCCTAATAACAACCAACCACATGTCATAAACCTAAGGCACTGCATAATTTTTACAAACCTACTTGATTCAATTTAAATCCCAATCCTCCTCAATTAAGAAAAAAAAAATAATTTCCCCCTATATTTCACTTTCCCATCCCGCCAATGGTAAACTTTTCCCTCACCAGAATTCTAACTTAATAGCAAATAATAAAATAAGATTCAATTATGTAGAAACTACAAAAAAAAACAAAAATATACAACAACAATTGCGATTGAATTGACTAATCACCAAAAAAGAAAAAAAAATTCTAATTTGTATAACGGTATCAAACAACAATTATATAAAATCGTGATTAAAATATATATCTAATCTTTGGCTGGTACATATTTATCTCATTATAATAGAATGTAAAAGGATAAAAAATCTAAAAAAACCCTAGAATCTATTGCGATGATTGTAGAAGATAAGATTAAACAAAAGTGATGATCAAACTATTTTTATTAAAAAAATAATAATAAAATAAAAGATGGTCGAGCAATTCTTACCTTGTCACCGGCTACAGATTCTTTTCTATGGCGCTCTAAGAGTGAGAAACAATGAGGCGTAAAGGAATGAAAGAAGAAAGAGAACCGCTAGTGGGAAAGGAGGAGGAGAGAAAAAATATACTTACGTGGGTGTGTAAAAGGGCTGTGTAAAATATACAACCGTTTTACACATTGGTAATGTGGCAGTGTATCTTAACCGACTGAGAGCATCTCCAACGGTATGTTAAAATACCCTTTTGTGTAAAATATACACTGCCACCTATGATGTGTAAATTTTTTCCATCTCACAGCAGTATGTTAAAATACATTGTCACGTTACTAATGTGTAAAAGAATTGTGTAAAATACACAACATTTTTACACGGCCAAATCAACATATTTCCTTTTTCATCCCTCTTTCACATTCCATTAAAAAATTAACCATATATTAAGTAAGTTTGTAAAAGTTATGTGGGTCCTGGCATGACACATAGTTGATTGTTATTGGGAAATATATTTTCACACAAAAGGTATAAAACAACCGTTGAAGCTAAAATTAAATAATTTAAATTTTTTTGGGTAAATCCATCATGACACATCAACACAAAAAAAAATATACATAACGGTTGGAGATGCTCTGATGGAGATTAAAAAAAATTTACAAATCATATGTGGAAGTGTATATTTTACACAAAAGGGTTTTTTAACAGACCGCTGGAGATGCTCTTATACATTTTGTGTAAAAATAAATCCCCCAATAACAACCAACCAAGTGTCATGCTATGATCCACATAATTTTTACAAATCTACTTAATATAGAGTTAATTTTTTACATAAATTATATTTTAATATACTTCTGGAGATGCTCTAATAATCTTGATTATGAGCCATTTTTTGCAATGAAAACAATTTAATTTAAGGGAGAGAGTAAATGACAAGATAAACTTTTAAAGTAAATGAAAAAGGAGACAATTCATGTCCACTAAAAAATAACTTTGTTGAGACGGGGGGCTAAACTAGTAAAACGTAAACAGTGAGATTCGTTGAGATCTAAAATTTACAAAATTCGAAGAATGAATTTTGAATAAAATTTGATTGATTATTAATCAAATTCAACGTATTTTATACCTAACTTCATGATCACCATGAGTTGTAGTCAACCTTTTATTACAGCGTCAAAGAAATACATAGAGGAACCTGACTAGGTTTGAAGAAAGATAAAAAATTATGAGTTTATTTAGTTTAATTCTTATATTCAAATAATCAAGAAACTTTTTTTCTCCTTGAAATTGGTGACTTTACAAAATCATTCAATTTTATTTAAAGTATGACCAAAAGTGGCATGGGTTCTCTCTTAAAAAAATATATATATAGGGTGAGTAATTTTATTTAAAGTCATTAACCAAAGTGGTATATTTTATTTAAATATATATATGTATATTCTTTTTAACTATGATTTTATGGAATATTAAAAAATAATAACATAAACTTTTGAACTATTTATGTTCCAAATAAAAAATATTATAAAATTATTATCACAACAACAAGGCTGTGCCCTAAAGTTTTGTTTGCGTTGTGATTGCAATAATTCGCCCAACAAATATATATATATATATATACGAGTACAGTATAGTATATACGGAGTAGTGGAGTGCATGCTTGGAGAGCGATTGCAATTTGCAACCTCGTACTATTTAGCAAACTCTACGAGAGTATCAACAAGGTTTGCCTGAATGGAGACCCTTTGCCCAATCGATACCCAGTACGCAGACATAATCTCTGCCCTTCTCAATCCTCCTTCACTTCATCAAGTTCAGGCAAGCTCCCTCTCTCCGTGGGTTTGTGTGTGTAATATGCACATGTGTGGAATTATTGTTAACGTTGTTGTTGTACTTTCTAAATTTAGGAATACTTCGATCAGCTCATAACAACTAAGCAATGCCGTGGACTTAAAGTGGAACAAAAAGTTGGCTATGGAAAGGGTATGTTTCGTTTTGGATAGGAGGTGTTGAATTATATTAATAATTTTTTCTATGGGCAGCTTTAGTTTCATGGTTATGTTTGAAGACTTAAAGTGTAGATTAATTTCATGTTTATGTTTGAAGGCTTGAAAGTGTTGCTTTGGTCTTGCTTATATACAGATTGATTGTTGCACACCAATTGTTTGATTTGTTTTCAGAAAGAACTCATTATCATTTCACTACATAAACAGATTACTGTTTCCAATTTCATGAATTCATACTATTAACTCTGGTAGTTGACTAAATAATGATTTTGTTGTTGTTGTTGTTGTGTGTGTGTGTGTGTTTGCGAATATATATAAACAAATTTTATTCAACAAGGGATGTCATGTGCTGGTTTTTGTGCTGGAGTCGTACGTATTACTTTATTGTCGTCTTAGTAGATAACAGTTTCATAGCCAAACAATGAAATGCTTATTGGAAGAATAGAAACTGTTGCCACTAGTGGCAACTGCTATCGTGTTTCCTCCACACGCCTCCCGGCAGCACCTCTTTCTTTGTATTGAACAGTAATGCTACCTTCTGCTTGTGCATAACTTTGGTCATTGTAGTCCTTTGGCATTTCAATATGCACCAGACTGAGAATGAACTGCAGGTGTCTTTGCTGACCTGGATTTCGAAGAAGGGGATCTTGTTTTAAAGGACCAAATGCTTGTTGGTGCTCAACATTCTTCAAATAAGGTTTTGTAAAATGAAAATATATATTTAGCTGTTATTCTTTAGTCAATGCTTCCATCTTACTTTATTATTTTTTCCCCCACTTATGGTTTGCATTTTTCTCTCTCTCTCAAATGTTGCAGATTGACTGTTTAGTGTGTAGTTTCTGTTTCCATTTTATTGGCTCAGTAGAACTTCAAATTGGGAGAAAACTCCATTTTCAAGATTTAGGTGTTTCCGCAAACAATGAATGTGATAGGCAGACAATTTCAGACATCCCAAAAGATTGTTGTCAAATGGATTCATCTGATAGTGAAGACGATTCTTATAGAGAAGATCACGGAAGCTTGCGAGCATGTTCTTCCAGCAGTTCTAAAGATAAAACTCCTCTCCCAAAAGAGGCCGTGGAGTCATTATTGAATGGTGGTTTGGTCTTACCTTACTCAAAACAGTTTTCATTGCCTTCAGTTGTTTCTTGTCCTGGTGGATGTGGGGAAACTTACTATTGCAGGTAAGAATCACATCGTCTTCCCTTACTTGATTAACAAATAAATAAAATTATAATTGACCCATGTTTTGAAAACTTTTTGGTGATTGAGTATGTTGTCTTTAAGCAGCATGAATTGTAAGTGTGAAGGACTTCTAGAATTTGAATATACATTTTCTTTCTGTAATAAGGTTCTTTATGTGACCGATTATAATTGTGTCTGACCAAGGGAATGATTTTCCATTGAGTGCTTTATATTAATATCTAATATGGAATTTGGCCACTATTTAAGCCATTGAATTTCTTCTAAAATTTAAATGGATGAAATAGAGCGATGCTTATTATATCCTTACTATTGCTATAACTTAGCCTGATTAGTACTGATGTATGTGCGATTATTTACCAACGATGCAGGAGGGCTGCACTGTCCACACAGAAAGACGGTGTTCCGTTTGACCACCTCACAATTTTAACTAAATAAAAATAAGAAAATTCTGATATTTAACTATGTACATGCCATTACTTGTCAAACTTGTGTGCTGCTCTCTTTTACATGAAAAATTGGCTTAATAGTGGTATACTTGTTATGTATCTGAAAAGCTAAACCCACTGAAAAATATAGTAAACCTGCTTTAAAATATAGGAATGCCGTGTAGTTTCTCACTCTCGTGTACCTACAACAACAACAAGCCTTTTCCCAACTTCTTGGGGTCGGCTACATGAATCCTATGTTTCCATTCTGCTCTTTCTAAGGCCATAGCCTCATCTATCTTTTTTGTGTACCTGATTTGTAAAATTTCTCATTCTTCTTTAAGCATCAGTTATATAATGGATCACTTGTTCTAAAGTTGCCAAACTTTTGTAGCAAATCATGTGCGCAGGCTGATTGGGATTTATTTCATTCTTTACTTTGTACTGGGGAGAGGACAAAATCATTACGTAAAGAGGCACTTTTGAAATTCATACAGCATGCTAATGGTAAGACTAATGCCATAGGTTGTTGCCAATGAATAATGTTCTTTAAGCCACATTTTTCGTAATCTGTTGTCTCCCTTGCTTTTCATTTTATCTGGTTTCCTTCTTCCAGAAACAAATGATATTTTCCTCCTTGCTGCCAAGGTATGTTCTATTGTATATCAATATTTTTTCCCCTTTCCCCTTTCATTTCTTATTATTCGTACTCAATATATATATATATATTGCATATACACGTGCGTGTTTGTGTGTGTGTGTGTGGACCTACTAAGGCTACTATGATAAGAAATTTATCACCAGAATTTTAGTCTCCATCTGATCTGAATAAAATCAACTTAATAAAGCTTTTTTGCAAGCTACTATGTTGGTCTACGTTTTGCCATCCATTTAAGACGAGCTTTGAGGTAGGAAAAGGAAGTTCTTTTTTGGGACCACTAATGATTTGAAGAAAAACAGACATGAAAGCTTAAGGGAAAAGTGTCTGGACAATAATTATAAACCTTGGACATAAAATGAGAATGCATACATTGATTTTGATAATCTATAATGTTGACATTTCACATGATTTTCCTCTCAGCAGCAGGACACTTATTAGTAGTTTCCCTACCAAGAGATAGCAATTCATGAAAGGGAAAACCCAACACCACCCCCCCCCCCCCCCCCCCCCCCCCCCCTTTCCTTCTCTAGGGAAGAAATTCACTATGATTAAACAGAAAGAACAGGACCAAATGATGCACCCTACAGTCCTCATTCCCCTTCATGCATATAAGGTGTCAGAAACAGCAGAAGCAAATGAAACACCCTGCAGTGCTCATTCCCCTTCATGCATATAAGGTGTCAGAAACAGCAGAAGCAAATGAAACACCCTGCAGTGCTCATTCCCCTTCATGCATATAAGGTGTCAAACAACATGCATCATCAGCAACCCATATTGATGCATTGAAGTCCAACAATTGGTAGTGTTGGTATAATGAAAGTTAATTCTCTTTTGATCTAGCGACATATTATGAACTATCTATGCACGATTCATGATAATTGGTTGAAGTATTATGTGTACGAAATAAATCTTATTCTCTTTTGATCTAGCGACAAAAATATTTGGCTTCCATTTCAGGTGATTTCTTTCACCATTTTAAAGTACAGGAAGTTGAAAGCAGCTCATCTTGAAGAAAAAGGGAAGTATGCTACTCCCAATGATCTTGACCATTGTAATTTGTCTCTGCTTTTGGAGGCTTGGAAGCCTATATCAATGGGATACAAGAGAAGGTACTTCTTATTTTTCTTCTTCTTCTAGTTCCAGCTCTTTTTTCTGCCCACCCCAGAAAATCTTGAATGGTCCTATGATCAAAAATCTACGATTGCCGTAGCCTGTTCATGTGTAAATGAAGTTCTGAATATTGCAAATATATAACTAGATGAGGACCATAAAGTGTGAACCACAGAAATTCTTAGTTGTTCTGATGCACGAAATGTTAATACACACATGCACGCATCCACATGACAAATAATAATGCAAAAAATATTCTGCTTGATATTTCAATCAATTCCTTTTTAAAATTTTTGCTCATACTCCTTTTTTTTTTTTTTTTGGGCATTCAGTTGTGTAGATTTGCATTTCCTAATAAATTCCTGCAAACTCCTTATATTTTGAAGTTCCTCACATTCAATTAATTTTATTTTGTGTGTGCGTGGAAGGCTTCTGCTTCAATACAGTATGACCTTACCTGATTCTTCTAGAGATAGTAAATGTGGTTTTGATGTATTTCATAATTTAGTATGACCTTACCTGATTCTTCTAGAGATAGTAAATGTGGTTTTGATGTATTTCATAATTTTTTTGTGCAATATTATGATGTTTCAAAATTTTAGAACAATGTTTTTGTGCTCTTTTGCATATTAAAACTAGAATTTTTTTTTTTAATTGCTTTTGACTTTGGAATTTGAAGTCCTCAGTAATCAAAATGTTTTGCTGACTAGCCAGTTTGCTATTACATTTTCCACTATTCTATGGAGATTTTTCTCAAGTTTCCATAAAAATCCAAGTTCTGACATAGCCATGGCTATTATCATTCACTTGTTCTTGACATGCTTCATGCGCTCCTTGATATTATAATTTACATTTTTTCGAATATTCCAAAACTCTCGCTCTCTCTCTCTCTATTTGAAACTTTTTTTAAAGACAATAAATTTCATGACCAATTACAGTTTTTGGATGCTATATGTCCCATTAGATTATCATATTCACATTTAGGATCTTCTATGTAATAGGCAATTTTGATGATGCATCTCATCATGATCATCAATTTTGATGATGCGTCTAACAAACTCAAATGTTTCTGAAACTGTATTGATGTATTACATTTTCTTTCCTACATCTATATATATGTATTGTTACCATTTATCAGTTTTATTTAATGCGAGATATAACATGTTTTGGGATGTATTAATTTCATAGTATTGACATTTAAATCTCTGCAAACAAAGTTGGCTGGTTGTCAACTTTTGGGGGCATGCCAGAACTAACCATCTATGCATTTGACATTTTTTATATGCAAGCACCTATTGGGCAGAGAGCTGAGATGTTATCCTCAATTGCACAATCAGTCGTCTAATTTATATTAAAAAACAACTTTAAGAACCTAGCTATTCTTTTGCTATGGATTTTATATCTGCATCTCAGAAAGGATTTTTAAGTTAAAGCTTGAGGTATCAAAGAGAAATAAAGCCGATATCAAGATTAAGAAACATGAGGTAAGAAAAGATGAACCCAATTACTGTCTACTGAAGTAAAAAATATTGAATTACAGCCTAATACATTGGTTACCCTCATCGAATTAAAGGATATATTACAAGATTGAAATAAGAAGGGCATAAAAGTAACTGATGTGTGAATGCCACAGAGAGCACTCTCTCTCTTTCCTACTTAAAATCTTCTCGGTGTAGGTAATTGCAATTCCTTATAGATTTTCCTAACCAAATCATGGAGTGGCAGCCCACAAACATAGGATTATTCTATCAAATGATTTCTCCCATGTTTTTTCTTTCTTGTAAGTAATGAGTTATTCCATGTTCTTTTCCTCCACAGGGCACTCATAGACCTTTGCTCCTGCACATGACTTCTCCTTTTTTACACCCAATGATGGGGCCTGCCCTATGTCATGGCTGTCATTTTATGGCGTGAACACATGAACGTAATCGACTTCTAAGCTACATTGATTTTTAAAAAAAAATATTTGTTGTTCACTAAATAACCTAATATTGTTAATGCTGCACGAAAATTTTGGCTTGCTTGCAGGTTTTAGTGACTTAAAACTATACTTGTATAGGCATATTACATTTCCAAAATTTAGACTTATTTGTTCCAAATTGTTTTCTTTTTCCTCGACAGAATGTCAGCATTTCTTCAGAATGCATGCTTCTTCTGTTCAAGAAATGTTAGCTTTATTATTTGAAGTACATTACATTTGTCTACAGATGGTGGGACTGCATTGCTTTGCCAGATGATGTTGACTGTCATGACGAAGATGCATTTAGAATGCAAATAAGGGAGCTGGCATTCACGGTAACTCTTACTCGTGTAGATGGTGTATGTAAAAAAGTGAATGAATGATATATCTTGTTTGGCTATCCATTTCAATCAATGAGTTAGCTTGTGCGCTCTTGCCCTTGACCTTTGTCAAGACTCAAGAATAGATTTGGTGATTCCTTAATCTATCTCAACCTTTAACCAAAAATCTCTTCTCATGGTTTGTCTGCTAAATGTTTGTGTGCCTATATATATATATATATATATAAATATTATTCTGGGAGATATGAATTCTTGTTGCCATTTTATCATAATAAGACATGTTTACATTGCCGCACTTGGAGAGGTAGACAATAAACAAAATAGAGTGCAGACAGACAAACAGCGTTCAAAATGGTTAAAACTTCTTTTAATACCTGTTTGCCAAAAAAGGCTACATTTTATTGATTAAAGAACAATTTTTCAAAACATAACCATCAGTCCATCATCAGTTCACTTCCTAGGTTTGTGATAGCACCTTACATATCGATTACTGTGATGCAACGTTTTATTTTTTATGTTGATTTAAAATATTGCTAATAACTACTATTTTTACTGAGTTCTGAAGAGTCTGTTTGAAATTTCTAGTCACTACAACTCTTAAAGGCAGCTATCTTTGACAAGGAATGTGAGCCATGTATCCTTACAAGTTCTGAATTAATTTGCAAGACTCTTTCAGAAGCATTATGATTAATGTATCATCATTGATCACTTCATGAATTGAAGCCCTTAACTCTTCTCAGTATTCTCCCTCGAAATTTTTGGGCATATTATTGGAATGTTTGAGCTTAATAATCTGTAAGTATTGCCATTCATCATGCCATGTGTCCTATTTTTCCATCAAACTGTAATACTTACAGAAATAATTATTGCTTACAGTGGCATCCACTAGCACTTGAGAAAAATCTGTGTCTATACTTCCTTAATGATATCATGTTCCTTGTTTTTCTGTCATACTTTTCGTATGCAATTATATGACAGTTTCAACTTTCCTGTGACAGTGATTTGGTGGTAGCATCTCCAGTGGAGGATTATTTTTTGTTCATTGATGATCTTCCATACTCTGAAAAGGTTAGACCATGCCCTTGGACATCTTCAGTCTTCACACTCTCTGCTGCATATAAAGCTTTAAGACATTTCCTTCGTAATCTTGCAGAAAGCCGCTGATGAAATTACACGACCTTTTCTGGATGCTATTGGTGATGATTATTCGGTTTATTGTCAAGGTATGAATCGGTTTCTGATGGAGAAGCTTCGCATAATGTGATGACAAACTCATCTTGTATTTTACAATTTTTTTTTTTTTTGTTTTTCATCAAGCTTCAGCTATCCTAGGCTAAATTTAGATGAGTGCTAACTTTTTAATGCATAATTGAAGATGGGTCAAGTTAATTTCCATGCGTAATTATCTTATTTAAAAAACATCTTGTAGATGAACCTGCTATGCCTATTTAGGAATTAGGATGACATGCGTGGTTGATGAAGCAGAAGATGAAACTGGAATTATATAGGTATCCGAAGGTTTAGGATAACCAGATCAAAACAGAATAAGAGATGTACTTATGATAAAATTAGGAGAAGGAACAAGGAATTGATGGTGGGATGCACTAGCTGTCTGTTTTTGTTATTTTGGATCAATTTCCATAAAGGGAGATTGATTTGGATGTATGAAGTTGTGTTTTGGAACAGAGATAGTTATTGAGTATTTGATTTTGTGCTGCAATGACTGTATGCATAATTCTCCTTATTAAGTCGTCGAGTTTTAGTTGTGCTACTTTTTAATCATTGGGTGTGTGATTTCTTATCAATCCCTGTCATTTCTGGCATGCAGATGGTACTTTTCTTCTTTTTTATCTTCTTTTTCTTTTTTTGAAGAAAGTTGTCTAGGCCTGTCACTAGTGAAAATATTTGCATCTTTTTCTCTCTTTGCATGATTTAAGATCCAAGCATAAATTATTTGAGTTTCAATTGCTAACATTATTAAATTTTATATTAGGTACCGCATTTTTTCCATTGCAGAGTTGTATGAACCATTCCTGTCATCCTAATGCCAAAGCATTCAAACGAGAAGAGGTATGTATCAACTGCATATTTTTAGCTTGTATTCGATTTGATCCTCCATAAAACAGTTTCAATGATTCTACTTTGCACCAGAAAGATGTGCAACATGTTCTCTCTCTTCGGGCTTGTAGCTTTTTGAACCAATCTATTAATTAAAGATCTAGTGCAAAATCTCGTTTGCTTTTGTTTTAAATTACAAACCAAGAATCTTTTATATATAGGATACTATTTTTGCATATTCAAAGATTGCTTCTCATAACCATTTATTCTAGAATCGGAGCCAAATGCATCGTAGTGACCAAGGAAGGTCATTATCTCTACCATCCAACTCATTTTAATCATTCCATGCAAAAGTTATGTACACCTGAGCACCTTTTCTGCGTGTTTGACACAAGGGAGACGGGAGACAATTGTTGAAATCCCTAGCCCTCAGTGCATTGCAAAATCTCTATAATGTTTAGTTGGTTGAAGCCTTGTAGGTTAACTTCATCTAGTCACATGAAATTAGCACCAAGGTGATCAAGGAATGTATGCCTTTTGGATGAACTCAAGTGCTTTCCCTCATGGCTAGAAAAACTGCTCCAACTTGCCAACCTGCTTGGGCTTTATTGGATTCTTCAACTTGTTATTGTTATTGGGCAGTTTTTTCATGTTGGAGTTTTCAGACCCTTATAATAGGAATGGATAAAGTTAATCTCCCAGAGCCATTTTATTCCTTCTTGTTGGCTTGTCGTATTAGCTTATATTTTGTGCTTAAAAATGAACAAAATATGAAGCTGTATTGCAACATAATTGAATTGTTGGCATGCATGTGGTAAAACATATAGATGCATAGATCCCAACGAGCAGCTGAGTTGGTTGAGGTGATAGCTCGTGGACCACGCATATTCTCTACCAGATGCGCTAGATTTGAGTTTAGTTGTTTGCATCCACAGGGATTACTTCATTCCATATGTATTGTAGGTTGTACATGGAGATCTGCCAAAAGAAGTCAACCCTGATAAGATGACTGGGTTATAGAGATGCCTAATTTTTGGGAGAGTGAGTCTTACTTGATAGGAAGGATGAGAGTGTAGAATGTGGTACGTTTTTAAAATTTTTTTTTTTTTATAATGTAAATACTCACACACTTACAAATGCCCATTGTGGGGCTCGAACCCCTCACCTCCCCTTTGAGGGAGGAGAGGTTATACCCTTAGTCACACAATTCGTCCAAAGAGGCCCTGCTCTTGAGCTCCGCACGCAAATTTGCGATTTGGGAGCGAATTCGCACAAAATCCGCGAATTCAATTTTTGCAATTCGCGAATTTGTTTTCCGCGATTTCCATACAAATTCACGTTATATAGCTAAATTTGTTAGTCTTAGTGATATGGAACACCTATATTACCATATATGCATTTATTACTTACACTATTACTCAATATTACATTAATTACTTAAACTTCACGTGTGCCCCAGCTGTATGGCATTGCTATACTACCATATATATATATATATATATATATCTTAATTATACTTGTTTGAAAATATACCACTAAAAAACTTCCCAATTGGAGAATATTACAAATAAATCACGCATCTTAGTGAGAAAAGTTAGTTAATTTATTACATATATCATTAATGGAATAAATAATAATGAATATATTTGTATATAGATTTAAATAAATAAAAAAATATAAAATATATATGTCATGACCTGATATAATTTTATTTAAACCTAATATACAGATGCTCCCGCTTTAAAAAAAATAGACTTTGACGCTTTTGCACTCCCGCTCTGTGTGACTTAGGTTATACCAACTAAGCTAATGGCCCAGTGGTGTAGAATGTGGTACTTGGGATTCCTGTTCTAGGATTGTAGGATTTTATAGCCATAAAAGCAATGCAGGCCATCCCTTTTTATTTTGGCATGTGCCAGGCCAACAGCCGACTGGCCATGCTACATTCCCAACTTCAGTCTCAACTAGACCCTTAAGAGTGAGTCAGTCGATACAGAGGTGCGTTTGAAGTAGGGGGTGACATTTTAAGGCATGCTACAAGTTTTGGCTATGTCCGCTGGTTGCTCTATAGCATGATTTATAGTTTTATACATGGGTGACAAGATGACAACTATTCCTGGGACAGCAGAGAGTTTCCTGTTAGTCCTGTGACTCCTGTCATCTGTTCCTAATAAACCATTGGTGGGATTTCAAGACCCACCATTGACAAGTATTGAGCTCATTTAGAGCACCCTAAGCTTTATTCCTGCCTTTGTGGCTAGGTGATTGTTGTGTCAAGATTTTTCATCTCATGATGCAGCACCAGTGGGGATCTGTTGCATTTATTCTCGAGATATGTGTATGGTAGATGACCAGCATAATTGGCCAGTTTACGTAAAAGATTTGTGTGCTAGGCTAAATTAAATTATTAAATTGTATAATGAGCATCTATTACTTTATGAGTCTGGCATGACATTAGCTTTTGCACATATGTGGAAAGGTATATGGTGGCCAGATAAGCACGATAATCTAATAAAATGTCATGTGGAATGCTTTACTCTTTCACATATAGTACAGATATTGATTTCCTAGGCATTGTCTCGTCAATGCAACTGGTAATTTTTTATCATGTATGAATAATACAGGATCAGTTTCTTCTCATAACTAAAATGATGTTTAATTCATGTTTGTTGTCCATTGCAGGACAGGGATGGCCAAGCAACGATAATTGCTCTCCGACCCATTCGTAAGGGAGAAGAGGTGATTTATGGTCTCTACTTGTAGTTTTCCGATCCAACTCTTCTATTAAGAATTACTACTAGTAGTAGATCACCATGTGGTCTCCTCTCTGGAAAAGCTCTGTTGTAAATCACAGCCAACATCTTTGACATTGTCAATCATTTTCAGGTAACAATATCGTATATAGATGAGGATCTTCCTTTTGAAGAGAGACAGGCATTACTTGCAGATTACGGTTTCAGTTGCAAATGCCCGAAATGCTTAGAAGAAGAGCCATAACTGCACATAATTTGCTGACCTTAGGATACTGGTGGTGCTAGATGATGAGATCAGGGAACGTGGTTTCCCTTCGAATTGTTTACAATGTCGGACTTCACCAAGCAGTTGTCAATTTTGAGTTATATTATTCGTTTTATTTTTATATTGTACTTTAGAATGGAATTAGTTTTATTGTTTGTCTAGTTCGGTCTTTAAACCCGATGATTTCAGTAAGAGTGACATATGTAGAGGTTATCTTTCTATACACTTGCCTGAACCATAGAAACTTTTTATTTTGTTAAACCAGCATTCGTCCAGGCTCTCTCATTTATTGGTTTTGGTTCCGTGGTGTGAGGAAAAAAGTGGATTACAGAGGTGATATATAGCATCTTTATTTTCATGCAAAGTTACTTCAGCAACATCTCATGTATTTTCCACTATTTCATATCATTGCCTGCTTTTCTCCAGTGCACCCTAGAGGGGATCACTGCCCTAGAAAGGATCATCTCCTTAACTTGAGTAGTATGCGGAGCATCTTTCATAGAATAAATCCAACTTGTTTCAAAGACATGATAATAGATTTTCAAGGAATGCCTCACATTAAGTAATAAAGTGATCATAAATAATACCATTCGAACCAACAAACCTGTGGCCTAGTGGTACAAGACCCCCACTTCCCAAAGGAATGTTAGGGGTTCGAACCTCAGTGGAAGCCGTTCCCGATTCATGGATCTCTCGGTTCGAGAAATAAAAATAAGAGGATCGAACCATTTCTTCTGACTCTTTTTCAAATTTGATAAATGTTGGTTGATCGTATATTTCATTATATTTCTTATTTGATCCCTTTGAATTCCATATTCGAAGTTGCGATCGGATCTATTCATTAAAAAGAATCGATTCAATACATTTCTTATGTATCCATAGATGCTATATTGGATTTGAATCAGATTTCGGATCAATCTATATTGCCTGATACCATTCGAGGTATTTTCAACAAGCTCACACAAAAAAATGATAATAATAATAAATATATATAAAGAAGAGCAAATCTATTTGCTTTAAAAATTATTTCATTTCACTTCCCAACATTTCATCCTATTTCAACCTGGCATACTGAAGATGAAGAAAAAAAAAAAAACCTTGACATGCATGTGAATCATATATCTTCAACCCCACAACTCTACACATCAAGCCCAGGAGTCTTTAGTATACTTGTTGGAAAATGTATGAAATAGTTATATACATGAAGACGTATACCAAGACTGCTTTGCAGCTTTATCAAGTTATCAAACAATATCCACATCCACGGTATCCTCCTCAAGCCCGTCTACGTCTACATTCTCATCACCGCCCTCATACTGCAAGCCAAATCAAATTGCTCATTTTAGATGCTAGATTGGAAAAAATATAAAGTTAATTCAAGCTGAATACTAGCATAAGAATTGAATTTTTATAAGAACTCTATATTTGATGCTATGGACAAATAACCATGGAGAAGAAAGATATCCAAAATTTATTTATGTTAAAACAGGCATGTGCCAATAATATACTGGCCATATTACCTAGACTTGTAAATTAAACTAACCTCCGCATAAGCATTTTGAGGAAAATGAGGTGGTGGCGGAGGCAGCGGAAATGGGAATCTTGGGATCTCAAATGAAACTTCTTTCTCGGCTCTTGTAGGAACAGCATCAACCACCTCAATCTTTTCCCCCATTTCAATCACTTCCACGTCATCCTCTGCATGAGCAGCCATTCCGGTTGATGACAGCAGTAAACCTGACTCAGAACCCTTCAACTGCACATTTTTATCATATAAAAATTTATCTCTCATCCCCTAAATGAAATTCAATAAAAGGACAATAAATAATGGACAAATTTTTCAGCATGGAGAATATTTATGAATGCGCAGTATGACATACTCAGGCCCCATTTACTGTGACCCCCTTTTTGTATCCACTAACTAAAAATCTTCTCAATCTACAAATTCATGATATTAACAGGTCCATAGCCAGCTGGCTGCTAAGTAACAAAAGGGATTTGGGGGGCATAACCAAAAAACAAGAGTCATTTTTATGTGCCAATTACATTTTTGAATTTAATATCACAACAATGTTACCATATAGCATGGCTTTGAAGTGAGTTCATAAAATGGACGATTGATTAGATGTCAAGTGAGTGCCCTTTATTGGTAAGAAACAGCTTTCCATCTCTTGGTGCAAGGGCGGAGCCAATTAAGGCCTAGGAGGGGCACATGCCCATTTTTTTATTGTTTATATATATAGAAAAAAATTCTATATAATGCCCAAAACTTTTTAATCTCCTTTACTAGAAGTTAAATTTCCTTTCTTCAATTAGACTCTAAATTTTTTTTCCTTTAAAATACCTCTCATATTTCTTTCCTTTTTCTTCATTATTTTTTCCCTGCTTCTTAAAATTCTTCTTTTTTCCCCTTGTAGTATGTAACTTTGTTTCCCATCTTATTCTTTTTATCTATTTCTCTTATTTAAATTTAGGGTAAAGTACACTAACAACCCCTGAAGTTTGACAAAAGGACACACAAATAAAACTTAGCCTATTTTAGGATAATGACATTTAAATATTGAAATTACCTTTCTAACCTTAGTAACCCATTTCTTTCTCTCCCTTCTCCCTTCCTTCATCCTTCTATTTTTTTTTTTTTTTTTTAAATATAATACACACGTGAGTATATATATATATATACACACGTGAGTATATATACACATATACATAAATATATATATATATATATATATATCAACACTGTGTCAATGATTCATTCCATCACTATGTTATAGTGCATCAAGCAGAAGAGCCACATAATAAAACAAATGGGGAAAAAACTTTGTTACTGAAATGATCGAATGACAAATTAAGAGAATAAGAAACAGAAAATTTAACTAAAATCATAAACATCAAGCTCCCCAAATCCAATTAACACAACCTAAAATTAGAACATGTAGATCCAACTCATAAACTGGATTAAAAATATTATAAACAAGTCTTGCAAACAAGCCAAAAGCTGGATTTATAACAGTAAAGCCTCCGTCTAATGCTGGAGTCATTTGTGAAAATAAGAAATACTGAGAAATTTCATGGCTTAGAATATATCTCATAAGAATATATATATATATAACTCACCCAAAATTCTTCATCGATTAGAGTCTCACGTGCCACAAAATTCCCTAACTCAATTCTATTTTCTTGAATTAACTCTTCTATTTTCTTCTGCAACCCTCACTTTCTCTCTCTAAAACTATTATCTTTCTCTCTCTATATCGTTCTGTCTACAATCCCTCTCTCCTTTTCCCATTCAGGGGCAATTGTGTACTTTTAACAAGTCAGCTTTTTTACCATAAATTTGAATTTAATATCAAGGGGTAATTTTGTCTTTTCATATGATTTAAGGCCTTGTTTGGATGGAATTTTTTCCAGGGAGTGTCATTGTCCCAAAATTGACTAAGTTTCATTTGTGTATCTTTTTATCAAACTTGAGGGGGTGTTAGTGCACTTTACCCTTAAATTTAATAATGTAATTTTATGAAGTCAATAGGGATAATTTCATACATGGTTTTCAAAATACAAAGATTTACATCTCTATTCAATGAAAATATTAACAAAAATCATACTCCCTCTATCCCATATTAGTAATCCATTTTTTCTTTTTAGAGTGTCCCAAATTAAATGTCCACTTTAAAAAGTAAAACAAAATAAATGCCATCTTTCCATAATTACCTTTCTAACTTTTCAAAAATCTTACAATTTGGTGTTATATATATTTAAAGTTTGAAGGACAACTTAGTAATTTGAAATGGGGACAATGTATTAATTACATGTCCCCTTAAAAAGTTATAAAATTAAAAATGGGCAACTAATAAGGGACGGAGGGAGTAGTGATTCTGCAATGATTTTTTTTTTTCTTCTTTGCCCTTTGATTTCAAGAATTTATATCATAAATTTTTATTTTTATTTTTTTTTACACTACGCCCCCCTGAATTAAAATCCTGACTCCGCCCTTGGTGAATTTTTTTATTTTTATTTTTTCATAAATGCTTGGTGAATTTTTTTCTATTACATTCTGAGGGGAAGGCAAAATTTTCAACTAGCTTATCCTGCATGTTGTGATTTATGAAGGGGGCACCTATCAAAACTTAGTACAATTGCTCCATCCCAAGAAAACACTGCTTAAGATTACATCGTATAACTAGGAGTGACAAAAGTCGACACGACCCTCTAACACAACACAATGTTAGCTAGTTTGGGTTGACCTTAATCGTTTTCGTGTTCGTGTTTCAGGGGGGTTCAACCCATTTAACCCAATTAGACCCGTTTAACTAATTGTGTCTATTTTCTCCTTCATATTGTCAAAGTTCAACCTTTTCGTGTCACCAGCTCTAGTACTCTCTCTCTCTCTCATTCTTCTCTCTCTTAAGCTTCGTTTTGTAGGAAAGAAAAAAAAAATGGATGGAAGGGCGAGAAAAAGGAATTGATGAGACATCCCTAGAGAAGAGCTTGTGTCATTCCCTCCTTTTGTTTGGTTGGATAAAAGAGAAGAGAAGAAACTGACAACTTAATGTGTTCGTTAGGAGAGATGGGAAGAGAGAATTTTAAATTGATTTTACTGTTATACCAATCATTATCTATAATATTGTAATTTATGAAGGATAGTATTGTAATTTAAAACTTTTATTATAGCCCTACTCACCTTCCCTCATCTCTTCCGTCCCATATTTGGAGGGATGTAAATTTGTGGAGGAGGAAGGATGACTCATCCTCCTATCATCCTTTCTCTCCTCTCTACTAAACGAATGAAGTTTGTCCCTTATTGCCTATCTTCTCTCCACCCCTCTTCCTTCCTTCCTACCGAAGAAAGCATTATGGAGAAGCCAAAGGCACGGAAAGAAAAGCAAGGCGTCCTACACAAGGTTGATAGTTATTAAACTAAAGAAGTGGAATTGGGTGTGGTTGCAATTAGTTGGTCAATATGCAAGACGAGCCCTGCGATTCACTAGATCACTCGTCAACGCAACTAGGGCAATAAATGAACCGAGCTCGGCTCGACATGGGCTAGGTTTGTGTTCATTTGTTTAATAAACAAACCGAGATCGAACAAAATTCTTAGATTCATTTATTAAACATTCAGCTTGTTTGTTTGTGAACGTGTTCGTGAACAGACTTGGTTAAGGGCTCGTTTTGAGCTCGAATATATATATATATATATATATATATATATATATATATCTCCAAACATACGTATATACTTTTTTTAGTCCATGCACTTTTAGATTAATCCACATAAAAAGAGGTCCGCTTAACTATAAATAACCATCCTTCATATATATATATATATATGCCCAACACAATTCATGACATAATGTTCTAGAAAGTATAATCCAAGCCCATTATCTTTCTCAATGACCCAAGCCCATCTACCATTTAAACATGACCCTAATCTCATTTCATTTTCATTCTATTCACGCAAATGAGAAGACTCCAAACACAGCAACAGCCCTAGCTACCCAACGCCGGAAAGCTCCAAGTACCGGCCACCCACCGATTGGGAGCTTGATCTTCCAAGGTTCTCTTCTCTCCCTCCTCTCATGTTATCAGCGGTGGAATCTGGATTTCTTTTTTGTTGTGTAAAGAGGTTGAAGATGATGGAGACCTGAAATCTACTCGAGTTCAGTGGTTTTATTCCTCCAGTTAAATGATACGGTAACTCTATGTGTGCGTCTGTGTGTATAAATGCAGATCGTGTATAAATCCTATTTCTTTGTGTAAAAAAAAAAAAAAAGATGGATATCGACTGGCGTAAACGATCTCACCGGGCTGAATTTCCCCAAACAATGTCAAGCCGAGCTCGATCTTGGCTAAGCTAGGCTCGATCGACCTCGAGCCGAGCCTCACCACCTCCAAGCTTGGCCCAACAATACTAGTATTGTATTCTTTGTTTTTTTGGTAATCAGATATTAAACGGGATCCAGGACAAAGAGTTAAACAGGTCATTAAACAAGTTACACGACCAATTTAACTTAAACAGGTCGTGTCATTACACGTCCCATTTAACAAGCAAGTTGCACAGTTCGTGTTGTGTTGCTCGTTTAATAAACACGTCGTGTTCATGTCAGGACCCTGACATGATTATTAAACGGGTCATGTTCAGGTTGACCTATTCAGCATAATACTACCGAGACAACACGATAATTATGACCCACCGACACAAATTGCAACCCTTAAATATTACCTCAACAATTCTTATGCATCAAATTTATGGCAAATAAACAAAAATGAACAGATGGAAACAAATATATATAAATGGAGATAGCACCTTATTTGCCAAGTGAACAATATCAGAATAATTCTTTCCTTGTTTAGGCTTGTCTTCATTAGCTAAGGGCCTACTACCATGATTTCCATTATACTCTAACTCAGCTTCCTTATTATCATTAGATTGAGCATGTTGGGCACTCCATCGAGAAAGCTTCTGTAATTTGATTGTTCCAGCCATAAATCTTTCTCCTTTTGTTAAATTTGCTGGTGCAGGAAAAAATGTCAGTATAAAAAAAACAAGCAAACATGATGCAATTAAATGGCGCAAATTAACAAACTAAGATAGAACCATAGAGCATCTCTTCTTGTTTATAAAACAATTATTAAATGATACATATTTAACAAACTGGGAAAAAACAAATAAATAAGCCCAAGTTATTCAAATAGGCGGTTAATGCATAAGCCCAAGTTATTGAAATTGGCAGTTGATGCATTTATTGTTGAATATGTACCAGGTGAATTAATCATAACTAGAAAAAGTGTAAAATAAAACAAAATCGTAGAGCCAATAGACTTCTCGTTTTAAATTTCTTCAAGGCCCAAATAAACAAATATTAAAAGAAAACAGAAAAGAAGAAAAGAAAAGGTGATATAGGAGCGGACCGAGTGGCATACTTGTTAACCCCAAGATTTCAACCCAAGGGATTTGGGTAATTTTGATGATACAAGCTATTAATGTGAGAATTTAACACTCTACTTGAGTATGAATAATTTCATATTATTATTATTAAAAACTCAAATAATTCAAAGGCAAAGCTCAAATGGATCTAAGGCTCATGGTCATGGAACTCAAAAGCTTACACTGAAGATCAAGTTGAAGACTATGGGTAGTATAGGCCAATGGTGAGAGCTAAGCTTTTTTGTGAAGTAATTTATATTGCATTTGATTAGATCTCAAATGAACTCCAGGACCTGATGAACTAATTATGCATCTCTAGAATAACTAAGTTGACCCTTAGACTTAGATGATTCACATTATAAGGGCAAAATAGTGAATTCACTTAGTGAAAGCCACTTTGGGCCTTAGAGGCCCTATTAGGCCTTGTGTATCTTCTAAGGGATGCACCTATCTTTATTTATCTTCAACTTATTTATTATATGCTTGCATATATAGTTGCTGAAGTTTCCATTTTAATCTAGTAAATTGGAAATTTTCCTATTGTTTGGGAAACAATACTAAAAAAATTGTTTCATAAATTATATTACTAAAAAAGTACACAGGTTTCATAAATCAATCAGTCCAGGTTTCTGCATTAGGTTGCAAATCAAATTTCATCGTAATGCTGATAATCAGCATTACTCAAAAACTTTAACTGCATGCCATGAATAATGTTAGTATGTCAAACCAATTACTAGGACGAAAAGGCCATCATGAGGGTGTTTTCAGGTCAGTGTGTGCTCTCAGAGGTTGTTGGCTGATAGTACTATGACATCGTGCTCTCTTGATCCAACAACTAAGGGTGTAACCTCAGAGAGAGAGAGAGAGAACCCACTGAGAAACTAAAAGGTACTAGAGAAGTGGCATCCAAGTTGACAACAAAATCAAATTTCATATTTAGAAGTGTACATTTGGTTATAAACAAAGTGCTTATATTATGCACCAAAACCACATCCATTATGGGGGCTTTCCTATATTTTGCAGCACACTTTTCCTTATGTACAACCCGGTGCTTGCATTGCACGCACACTAGCGTTCGCCAGTTAACAAAAACATGAAAAAATTGACATAATCCATTATGCACATTTTTCATGTTTTGATAAACTGGCGAACGCTAGTGTGCGTGCAATGCAAGCACCGGGTTGTAAATAAGGAAAAGTGCAACGCAAAATATAGGAAAGCCCTCATAATGGTTGTGCTTTCAGTGCAAAAGAATACTTTGTCTTACATATAGATGCATAAATTCTGACAAAAACTAATGTAGAATGAAATAATAAGAAATGGCTTTAAAAATTATAATTAAATGGAGAAACAGTTTATAATAGAAAGCAATTGAAAAAGAAATGTGGCAGGGCCCATTCATATGGGATAAAAGCAAGAATGATGATGGTGATAAGTAATTTTCATATCACCTGGTCTTGGCTCTTCAGCAGCTTCCACGTTAGACCGTGGCCTTTTCTTGCTTGGAGAAGCACGCTTTTGCGGCTCATTTCGAGGGCTTGTTGCTTGATTACCAATGGTTTCTCCATCACTTAAAATGTTGACGTTTGAATCCCCTTCATCAGCACCAAGTCTAGTAGTATCTGAGCCGAGCTGGTCTCCCAGCTTCTGAAGTCGAGCTTGTGACCTAAACATTTCATTATATTACCGATTGAATTATAAGAACCATCAAACCAAGCTATCATGTTAAAGAATCTGACAGCGAGGAGTAGTGCTGTGCAAGCAATCAAAAGGATACAAAAGGGAGCTGAAAAAGATACAAAAAGGCAAACAAACATGCAGAAGGGAGCCAAAAATATATTTAAAAGTGTAACTTGCCTCTTTAGCTCATCTTGTATCCGCGAGTAACGATTGTGTGCCTTGGTGAACTTTTTTATTTTCGAAGTTATCCTAGAAAAACAATTAGCCCAGTGGGTCCCCACAAAGAGAATGGGTAAGAGAGAAATCATCAGTCACACCTCAGAGCAACGCCTTACCTGTAATTGAGCAACAAGACAGAAAAATCTAGCATTTTCTGGAATATATACCTTTTGCATTCCTCTTTCTCTTTGCTCAACTGCATCTCAAGCTCCTGAACTTTAGAAGTAAGACTATCTTCTTCTTGGACCCTCTGTTCCAGGTAGATCTTTGGACAATCACATATTGTGTCAGAAAGTGTCTTAACATATAGATATAGATTAAATATAGAGACCAATAACAAAAAATATATATAGACATATATATATTAATAAAACCACAATGACTCCTCGCAATGAGGCGGTAAGGATAACGTATTAGTTATCCAAACCTTGATCCATATATTTGACATAGGGCTGTAAATAAACCGAGCATTGGACAAAACAGCTCGGGTTGTGCTTGGCTCGTGTTCGTTTGTTTAGTAAATGAACCGAACACAAACAAAATTTTCAAGCTCGTTTAAAAAAATGGAACAATCTCAAACAGCCTACGGCTCGGCTCATACAATCGTGAACAGGCTTGTTAATAGGCTTGTGAAAATTATATAAAATTTTATGAGATAAAGGCTTAGCCCACCCCACATACATTAGGCCCATTAAAAACTTTGTTACTTCTGTTTAAGATGTAAAACTTTGCCCAACCCAACGCATTTATAGCAACCTACCATAAACAACAGCCACCAACAGCAGCGATCTACTTGCCGGCAAACAATTTATCCTCTCTCTCTCTCTCTCTCTCTCTCTCTCTCTCTCTCTATCTATCTCTCTAGGATGGTGAATGGGCTGTACACTGAACAGATGCAAAATGTAAGTGGGGAAACATTCTTTTTTCTTATTGTTAAGAGAAGAGATAGCATTATACAGGAAGTGCCAAAGTGAAAGAAACCCAAGGACTTGCAATAGCCCAAAACCATATTTCATATAACATGTTTTACTCCAATTTAACCATCAGAATAGCCACTTCCTCAAACATGCACCTATTTATTTTCTTCCATACACCACAAGACACAGAGGAGCTGCATCTTAAAAAAGCCTTCATTCTTTTAATAGCAAAGTCACATCACCATCAACTAAACAAATCATTTACTACAGAAGTTTCCAGTGTACACCAAGAACTGAAAAGAGCATAGGCCGCGGATCTCTAGAAACCTCACAATGAATCTAGATGTCACTAATGTTCCCCTCTGCCATCCTACGCATGCAACAGCAGTTCGGTATCATTGTACTCCCTGCATGAGTCATGCCTAGGTTTACCAGAAGACATATATAGAGCATGTGAACTTTATGTGAAAAGGGGCAAAACCACCATTTAATTAAGCATGGGTTGATGTCCAACGGTTAGATATGAACAATGAAGCACAAGATAAAGAAATTGTGCAGAAATTATTGTAGGAAGTTAACTCACTAGTTATGAACTTAATCAAGCAACAAACTTTAATAATCTGCAAAAACAATTGTATGGAATAAAAGAGTGTCTAAACAACCAAGGGACTATCATAAGCTCAAATAACATACAAAGTTTCCAAAAAGAAACATGCTGAGATCAAATTTGGCACATAAAGATAATATATAAAATGTAACGGCAAAAAGCACACATAAAGGCCATGGTTTTTTTATATTTTTCCTAGGAAAAGGAAAAAGAAAGAAAGAAAGAAAGAAAAAAAAGATGCTGCAGCAACAACAAACAGATTGAACTAACCTCTAGTTGACTTTTGTGGTCATCTAGCATGGCGATATCCAACTGCACTTGCCTTAACTGCATTTTGTTTCAAAAGATATATAAAATAAATACTTATCAAAAAAAAAAAGAAGATATATACAATAAATAAAAACTATTAGCATATTGGTTACAATTAGAAGCATGAGCACCACCATTTCAAAAAAAAAAAAAAAAGAATTAAATTTCTTCAGTAATTCACTACAAACGACAAAATTTTTTAAACCTGCTCCTCAAGAATGTCTTTGGTTTCAGAGGATAATATATTTTTGTCTTTAACTCGATCTCCAGTAGAATCTGAGATTTTCCCACTCCCAGAAAAATCACTTTGTCCATCCAACTGTTGTCTCTTCCTGTGTTTTCTGTCACTGCAAGACAACATGTACAATACCATGAACCCAGTTAGAGTATAACATGGTAACAATAGCAAAAAGAAGTTTTAATAAAATTAAAAAAAAAAAACAATCTTAATGATTCTAATACTTGTTTAGTTTCAAAGAAAGAAGTACAAAAATAAGATATTATGTTAAATTTTGAGAAGTAAAGAATGGCACTCCTCTTACTCAAGATCAGTCAGGAGGCATACAACCTAATATAATCAACCATAGCGACTGCAGCAAGTATGTCTATAAAGGGCAAACCATATAGTCCCCGTTTAATAAATCAACAGCAGAAAAAATCAGCATGATCAATACCTCAAGAGGGGTTTTCGAGGTTAAGTTATTCTACAATTGTATGTTGGATTGCCCGGGCCCCATTTTTCCTTGGAAGGCCAGTTGGAGGTCGAAAGCTCCATTGAAGGTTGCTTTCTTCTCTTGGACCGCTGCTTGGGGAAGCATCCTAACTATTGATAATCTTAGAAAAAGGAGTCATGTTACAATTGTATGTTGGAGCGCCCGGGCCCCATTTTTCCTTGGAAGGCCATTTGGAGGTCGGAAGCTCCACTGAAGGTTGCTTTCTTCTCTTGGACCGCTGCTTGGGGAAGCATCCAAACTACTGATAATCTTGGAAAAAGGAGTCATGCTGTGGTTAATAGGTGTTGTTTGTGCAAGATAACGGGTGAATCTGTCAACCATCATCTTATTCATTGTTCAGTGGCTAGGGATGTTTGGTCTATGTTTTTGGGTGCTTTTGGTCTTCCATGGGTGTTCTCAGAATCCATGGTAGACTTGTTATAGACTTGGAAAGGGTGTGCAGTGGAGAGCTGAGTCAGAGATACCTGGAGGGCCACTCCCCTTTGTATTTGGTGGGGCATGTGGCGTGAGAGATAGGAGATTTTTTGAGGAAGAGGAGTCTCCCATTTGGGCTATTAAATACAGTATTCTTACTTCTTTATTCTTTTGGGTAAATTGGCAGGACTGTAATTCAACGGATTCTCTTTTGGATTTTGTGGATAGCTTAAAGCTATAGTGTCGTCTTGGACGGTTGTTGTCTTCTTTGGGAGCGCTCCCCTTTTGAGCGCCCTTTTATAAAATCTTACTTATCAAAAAAATAAATAAAAAAAATCATCACCGCAATTTTTTCCTTCCAAATGGGTGCGGTAAACAACCTTTTTAAGATTTGAGACAAGCCTTTCCTCTAGAAATTTAAGATTTTATATTAATCACATTAGATACCGCACAAACAACAAAAGTAATTTTTGGTCATTTAGAAGCCAAATTTGCATGAGGTTATGTAGTTGTTAAGAAATTTTCTTATACAAGTTTACAGGCAACCATTACAAAGATGCAAAGTGTGGTTCTCGTTTGACATTCAAACAACATGCATTGAAACAGAGATAGAGACAAGCCTTTCCACTAGAAATTTAAGATTTTATATTAATCACATATTCCCTCCATCCATCTGGATGCACCAACATAATCATGTCATATTGTTGATAAATGTCCTTTAAAAGGGAACGGCAAACAAGAAGACGGGAATGAATATAAAACAAACTTACAGTAAAAAAATTCGGAATGCTAGAAAAGGGGAGCAATACTTGTTTGAGATTTAAGCCACATACACTAGAGTTCCTACAAGTGTAACTCTCTTTATAAAGAATCAATGGCTATATGGCAGGCTTGGAAGCCGTATTCCAATTAGATGACATATATGAAATTTACTTTTAGGAAAATTTACATTTCATTTCTAATATATATATATATATATATATATATATATAAGCAAAAAACAAAATAAAATAAAATTACCTCCTCCTCTCTATAGATCTGGAAGGACTGTATCCTGCAATTAAAACAAAACAGATTAACACAGACTAAAAAAAAAAGAGGGACCAAGAAATAACAGAAGCATTAAAAGGGAAAATGATAAACTGCCTTGCTCCACTAGAGGGTTGATTGAGGCTTGGAGAGGGTGTTCAGTGGGGACTCTCATCCAGGATGCTTGGAGGGCTACACCTCTTTGTGTTTGGTGGTGTATTTGGCTTGAGAGAAATCGGAGATACTTTGATGGAAATGAAAAGCCTATCTCTATGATTAAGTTCTCTATTCTTTCCACTCTTTTTTGTTGAATTTCAGGGAGGGATTATCGATCTGTTGAGGAGTTGGTTGTTTTTTTGGCCTCTTTGAAGGCTTGAGGCGTTTTGGCCTTGTTATTTTGTTCTTGGGTCTCGCTCCCCTTTTGAGCGGTTTTTCAATAAAATTTACTTATAAAAAAAAAAAGAAAGAGGGAAAAAAAAACCAACAATAACAACAAAACCTTTTCCCAATTACTTGGGATCGGCAGGGAAAGAAAACCAAATGGTCCCTAATATTTACACCATGGTGACTAAGCTCAACACAACCAATAAAAATGAGAAGAAATCAAAATCTATTATAACAATAATTAAATCACAGCAGCAATACTGGCAATAATTAGCAATACTAGAACATAAAAGGGGAAAAATACAATGATTTTGTTTCTAACCATGAGATGCATATCGGCCTCTAACATCTCTCCCATGAGAATACCGTTGCAGTGGAGAATGCCTTTTGTCAAGCTTATCTCTCAAGTCACTACCTTGATATTCCCGCCTACCTGCAACAAGGAAGAGAGACGAATTTCAAGTAGGTTGACACAGTCATCATTTCGTTTCAAATTTGAAAGCAGGAAGCCCGTAGTTGATAACAAAGTAAGCTTACCATGGTACAACATGAGTAACATAATAATGAACAGTTATAGTGCCTTCATGCCATTGCCAAAGAGGACATAGAAAATACCGCTCTCATATAATGAATAGATATAGATATACCAGTGTTTGAGCTTATACCATTGAGAAAACCCTTCAAATATCATAGAAGCAACAGATAAAGGATAGATGAATCCCTGTCTTCTCGAGCAATTAAAAAAACAATGCATTCTGTGTGGTACAGATTTCTCCTTGGTGCCATATCAAAGAATAATTTATAATCCATCCCACATGTAATATATTGGTCTGTTCTGACTCTATCTCCCATACAAGAGATCCCTTTGTAATGTCATTGAAGGAGAATTCACAGATGAAGGAAATACCACATGCTCCACCAATAGACAAACTGCAGAACTTACTAGGAATAACATTTGGATGTATCATCGAACCAGCTTGTAATCTATATGTTATGGAAGAAAATATGCCCAGAAAAACCTAAATTCTGATCCTTCATATAATGCTGCTGTTTCATAGATACATTAAGATTAGAGTAAACCAGGATGAAGTTTGCCGAGAAACAACACCAAAAGCAGCATTAAGATAAACCAACCAGCACAATCCATTCTGATAAAAAAGTACTGTCAGTCATTGAACTTTCTATTGGTTAATCAAATACCCAAACTGCTGAGATATTATGAAGTGTGTCATACTTGATCATACCTTAACCAGCAATTTACAAATTTGAGGGTTGTCCAAGAATATCTTCTGTAATTTATCGCGCAATGTGAAACATTAAGCTTCAACTTGTGCAGAGCCTAAGGCGTGCACAAATGATAGTACTAGATTTTGAATAGAAACCCAAAAGTGATTTATGACACGGAAACTAATTAAGAATAGTTTACTGAAGAACAGAAACTAGCTATCAAAAAAATTAAAAAATACTAAAAAAGAACTCCAAAAAATATGCATTTGAAAAACATAGTAAGTACCCATTGAACGATGGATCTAAGTAGGATGTAATTAGAATCTCTTTAAAACAATAATGGACTTGAATTTTTTAAAAGGTAACATTTCAAAATTATAGTTTGCAGTTCACGTGCATGTTCAAATTGAATTTTACATTCCCTCCAATATCTCCCTAGTTTTATAAGTTTTCAAGCAATGTTTGTCTGTGTACTCTAAAAATTAAATAATTCTACACTGGCAATGAGACTTTTATTCAACTTTCCATTAACAGACTTATTTTGTGAAAGTTTATTTTGTGTTAAATTCAAATCTCCATCATCACAAAGTATTAGCTGGGAAAATATGATCACATTAAAACAAAGAAACAACTAATTTTAATAGACAAATCAAATAAATTTTAAGGAAAATTACTTTGATTTGAAGAAAATCATACTAAGGGGATCAATAGATGTCAAAAAGATAACATGCAAAACATCTCACAATACAAACACGTTTTCAGTGCATCTAAAGGTTTATACTAAAATCAAAAATCTGAAATATGACATATATCAGCATCATTTTCTTACTTTTGCTTTCCAGCAGCACCTATCAAATTGTCTCTACAGCAGTGTAGCATTAAGTATGATAATATAGGATCATTGTCAAATATGAGAGTTTGTAGTAAATAACAACAATATGGTCATTCAATACGTGAATAACCATCAACAATTGTTAATAAGATATCTAGTTTCCATGCTATATAATCTACGAGGGCATCTGCATTCATTACTCTCACAATTCCTTAACCAAAACAAGAAAGAGAAAGAAGGTATCTTGACCTAATGCGATTTCCACTTAAATACGTGTTTCAATATAATGAGATCCAAATTATGGAAAATAAATAATATAAGAGTTTCAAGCATACTAATGACAGAAAATGAACAGGGTCAATCAAGCACATGTAGCAATGAAACATTTCGATCTTGAATATGGTTTATTGGCATCATATAAATTTACAATAGTTTCAATATGTAAAAAATTATAATATAGAGTAACGGACATGAGAAGCAAAATTACCATGGAAGGAACCAGGGAAGCGCCTAAGTTCAGCTTTTCCGTGGGCAAACGAGCAACTCTGATGAGGACAACGACCGTTCTGATACAATACGCAGAGCTTCGTCTTGTATAGCTTTCGTTCAACCATCCTTAATGTTTGTATTAATGTGTGTATAGATTTGCCGAATTTAACAAATCACCGAGAAATATTGTGTCGAAAAAATGAATCAATCCACGAACATATTAACGAATAACATCTGAACTGGACATAATGCTTAGAAGATAGAACTGCAGCGATTAAAACCAGCCCTAGGTTGGGAGAGTGAATAATGTCGAGCCAGAGCGCAAGAACCCTAATTTTCACGGCATTGAACCAGAGCGCAGGAACCCTAATAAAACACTTGAATATACCAGGAGTCGCGTCTGTGTATAGATTGAGTGAACTGAAACGTACCTGGAGCGCGAAATGTGCTTGTTCTGTAGAGAAAATTCAGAGCCGGAGAAGAATTCATAAACCCTAGAATACTTGCCTTTTCGAGTAGATTCGTTGAAGCCCCAAATAAAGCCCAAGTTAATACGTAGTAACCTAATGCCCATAGTGAGACCCGATTGTAGGATTTGGACCCAATCTAAGATTGGGCCGAGTGATTTCAGCAGAAAATTAAATGAAACCGTCTTAAATACAATTATTATAAGAGCAATGATACTTACGTCCAACACTTATAATGAATTATCTAATCAAATAAGTTTTAATTAAATATTTATACCAAGTATAACATGGTGGTTTTACTCACAAGTTTTAATTAAATATTTATACCAAATATAACATGGAGGTTTTACTCATTTGTAATGAATTGTCTAACCGAATAATTTTTAATTGGTTATTTATATTAAATACAACTAAATGGAGGACTTCACTTTCTTGTTATGTAATTGATCAATTAAAAAAATAAGTCTAATGATTCGCAACTGATAATTAAGCATTTTCTCTTTTTATTCAATTTGATAGAAGAGAATAGAAAAAACTGACAATTTAATTTGATAAATAAAAAAAAAGTATCATTAAACCACCTTTATTTTATTTATGGTATTTATTAAATATTTATGAAGGGTGATGTAATAATTTAAAACTTCTCTCTCCTATCTTCCGCCTAGACGGATAAACATTTATGAAGGAAGAAGAATAACTCATCCTTCCTATTATCTTTTCTTTTCTTATATCATCTCTACGGAACTTAGGAAATTTATTTCTTATTTCCTATTTTCCTTCCACCCCTTTTTTTTTCCTTCTTACCAACATACCATTTAAGATTAATAAACCTATTACATTTCTAACAGCATAACGAGTTGAGCGTACAACTAAAAAATTTAAACTATTTAATAAAAGTTGTTTACTCATTCATATATACTGAAAGGCTTTCATGCGGTCCAAAACAACGTACTTTTAAACGGACCACCAAAAGTCAAATAATCAATTACACTTTATTACTTTATTACACTTAACCATAAGCTAATAATGTTACCTTTAATAGTTAATTTACCATAATACCTTTATTCAATCTCTCTGGTCCTTAATCTTCCTTGCAATCTCAACCACTACCGCCATATCCACACCATCACAACCACTTGATTCTCCAAAAACGGACTCCAAGGCTACCAGATCCAGGTCACCCTTTCTTTCTCTCTCTTCTATTTGCACTTTGATTTATTTATTTTTTTATTATTTATTTATTTTGCTCTCTTAATTTTTTTTCCATTATTGCTCTCTTATTTATTTTTTATTTTTTTGCTCTATTAATTTTTTTCTTCGACCCATTATTCTTTTCTTCGACCCATTATTCCACACTTCGTGAATAAATTTTTTTTTAGGGTTCAGGAATAAGCTTTTTTTTCCCTCCAATTTAGATCATCATTAACAAGAACTTTAAACAGAAAGTATGTATTGCTTAATCCTACCATAGAAACAATAAAAAGTCTCCAAATTTGGGTTTTCTGGAACTCCATAGCTCAATACTAATAAGGACAAGAGAGATTGAATAAAAGTACTATGGTAAATTAACTATTAAAGGTAACATTATTAACTATGGTTAAGTCTGATAAAGTAATAAAGTGTAATTTACTATTTGACTTTTGGTGGTCCGTTTAAAAGTACGTTGTTTTAGACCGCATGAGAGCCTTCCCGTTCATATATATATATTACTTCCCATCAGTTCCATATCTATTTTTAAATGCATTGCAATGTCATTGGAATATATATCAATTTATGCCCAATTTGGAAAATGGTCCATTACTTTTTATTCTATTTTTTTTAGCGTAAAATGCAAAAAAAACCCTGAACTATGTTTTTGTTGCAATTTACCCCATAACGTCAGCTTTTGATGCCGAAAAATTTGAAAGACCAGTTTACCCTTATACACTACGTCGTTTTAACTTAGACACTTCTTCTTCTTTCTTTTTTTTCTTTTTTTTTGCCAAAACATTTTAAGTCTTACCATAATCTACTATACTTGATATATGTTGTTCACCAAACACAACCCAAACCAAAGAAATTAGAGAGATAGAGAAAAAAGAGACCAGAGAGATGAAATAGAAGAAAAATAATCATAAAGAAGGCAACATCTATTAGAGATCATCACCATCTTCTACGTTTTCATGTGTCAATGGATTGAAATTTTTGGAATTTTCTGAAATTAAGGTTCTAAATAATTAGGGATTTGGCCTTCCCTTATTTCCCCTGTTTGCTCTGTAACTCCAAAGCCCAACTCTAACATTTACTCCTTAGACCGATTCTTTTAATGGCACCTATTGATTCTCATTCGTTCACATATTGATTCACCCATTTTACACGCAGTTGATTGCAAATATTTAACCTTGGATCTCATTTGCATAACCACATGACAAGGTTGAAGATGAATGTCGTAAAAATTTTGAGACTGTAATTATTGATTTTTTTGGTGGAAAAGTTGCATAACAGGTACTGAGCATTTGGTAGCGATGATGGTGATTGCGGAAGTGGTGGGTGCTGGCAGTGGGATGGATTCTACGGTGGTTCAGTATAAATTGTTTGAGTTTTTGAAAAGAGTAATTTACATAGACCTCCCATATGGTTTGCCATAATTACAGATGGCACCGTTCCTATTCCGGAAATTACGCGAACCTCCCCTACTTTTGAAAATATTTTACACGGACCTCCCTCCCGTTACGATCAACGCCAGTCAACAACGGAAATTGATGACGTCATCTACTATTTTTTCTAAAATCCCTAAAATACCGGTCTCTATATAATTTCATATTATATATATATATATATATATATAAAATAGAAATTATAGACTGATCTAGAAAATCAGATAAACCGCCGTTGGGGTCATCTCGGATGATGTCGAGAAGCGTCCGGTTAATCGGCGCCGCTCTCTTCTCGCTATCCAGGATTATATAACTGGTAATTCCAAATTTATGTGTTTTTGGTAAAGGGCAAACCGTATGTTCATATCCTCCTACAAAATTTATTTCCATATGCTCCATGTTACCAGTGGTAGAATATTCTCAGAAAAATGTTGGGTAATCAGTTTTAACAATCCGCTATCATCTCCTCCAATGGAGCACGGAATGAACCACTAATACATCAATTCACCAGAAAAGTGATGACCTAATTCGATGCCACAACCTGAGATATTTACTCGTTCATCAAGTAAGATCCAAGTTCCATTATGCGCGTACACGCATTTGTCTGAATCACTATCAATCTCAATGCCTGAGACCAGTTTTAACAAATTGCAATTGAAATCCTAATGTTGGTACAAAAAAAGTTGTCCAGATACACCATTTATATAAATAACACCAGAACTCTATTAAAGAAGCCAGCGAACCTACTATTGCCAAACAGAAAAAAAACAAGAATAGGAGGATCCAACACTTGTATAGGTGAAAATGGAAATATAAGCCAAAAATATTAAATTCTGATGGAAGTACAATCCAATCACTCCACTTTCCCTTTTGAGACCAAAATGACTAAAGGAATTTTGCCGTTGATAAATCAAAGTAAGCCTAGCATCATATTCATCATCATTTAAAAATTTCTCATCAATGTGAAGTGGGTAATTCCTTTGTTCATATGTTGAACTTTTGAGGAACCATATCGAAGTCATCGAATTCAAATCTTTGACGCTCTCTCCCAGCCTGAATTAAAAGCATATTGCTCAATTAGTTTCCAGCAATTACCAGTTAAATTTCAACAGAAAATTTTCAATCAGAGAGAGATAGGTCTCGATTAGAGAGAGACAGGACCAGATCTGATACTTCTCGCTTTTGATTTTGTTGTGTCTGTAAAAAATGTTTTTCGCAATTAGGGATAAGAAACGTATATACTGAGAAAATTCTAAAAACAAGGCCTGAGAGAAAGTGAGTCAAAAAACTGATGAAGGTAAATCCTTGAATGAAGGTTAGTGATGGATTTTGCGACTTGCACTTTTGGAGAAGACGACAAGCTGATGTCATGCCTACCCAATAACTGAGAGGGGTAGTTTAGTAATTTTAGATGCCAATGAGAGGGTATTTCAGTAATTTTGACATCTCCGTTTGTGTATTTAATGGTCCGTCACACATAAGGGTGATTTGTGTAGGATATTTTCAAAAGTAGGGGAGGTCCGCGTAATTTCCGGAACAAGAAGGGTGCCGCCTGTAATTATGACAAGCCATAGAGGAGGTCTGTGTAAATTACCCTTTTGAAAATTAGTAGTGCTATTGATTGGCGTTGAGGTGGCGATGGTGTTGGTGGCGGTAGTGGTGGATGGTGGCAGTGGGTTTGTGGTCTGGGTTCTTTTGGCCAATTATTTAAGTTTTTAGGCAAAAGAAAGAGGGTTAGTGGTTGGATTTGTTCATGTTATGGTGGCATTGATGGTGGTTGTGGATATGCTAGGGTGATAGCAGTGGATGAGGGATGATGACAGTGGCTTTGTGGGGTTCAATTGGGTTTTACGTTATGAATTATTTGGGTTTCAAAGACGATAGAGAAG